CTAATAACCCCCATCTCTGAACTGGCTTCATCACCATGTTCTGCTCCCCACTGATAGCTGGTGTGTGGGGAGCGTTCTGGCGCACTATGGCTGTTGTCGCATCATCCAGGTGGGAATGCACACTGGTGGTGGTTGAGGGGTCCACATTACCTGTAAAGTGCTTTGAGTGGAATGTCCAGAAAAGTGCTGTATAAGTGTAATAACATTATTATTGCTGCTGCTGCAACTACTACTGCTACTGCTACTACAAGCAGAGCCATCATGGGGATGCTGCTGGGCTCTCTCAGGCAGACGTGGCGAGAGTCCTGGAGCTTCAGCATCAAGATGATAACCCACACCTAACCTGTACCCTAGTTTCAATTTCTGTGTTGAATCTCAGGCCACAGAGCTGGAAGTTGTTTATCCACGAATGGCTTCCTACAATTTCCTTCCGCAATTTTCCTGTGTGTGAGAATAGTCAGAATGCTCAGACTGAACACTTTTCTGGGTGAAAGAAGGTAAATGTCAGTAAAGACTGCAAAGACAAACTAAAATATGTTGGTTGGAACAGTATTACACCCCTTGAGTCACTGACCCTATAATCTCTATTGTTAATGTGTTGTTTTTCAGATCAGTGTTTGCAGTATTGAAAATAAGAGCACTACTTTCAATAGTCCTGGTCTCCCCCTCACCTCCTGAATCGACTAATCACACCTCCCTGATGGTATCCATTTCAAATCTCGAGCCAGTATGTGCTGTGTACACACCCATCTGCTGGAACAAGCAAAACAGTGCACAGTGTCTGCATTGATACGAACAAACAGCTCTCTTTCTAAATCAGGCTTCAGGGCTACACTTTCACAGACCTGTAATATGACTCACCACATTTCTAATTCAGAAGCAACTGGTTATGCACAGCTCTATAAAAGGTGAACGATTTTCGAGAAATGAATCTACCTTTGCTTTGTTGAAACATGTAAACCACTTTGGCGGGGTACAGCGCAGCAATAATCGTGTGCTTAATGAGGAACAAGGCCAGTCCTGGCTGTGACAGGGAGTCCTCCTACTCCACACTGCTGAAGCAGCTTGCTGCAGAGCCAAGTTCAGGAGCATTAGCACACCTCAGCTGTCCGAGGATAGGCTATCGGCAAACGCGAGTGTAGACGTCCAGACAGCAGAGCCAGTTAGGGAACCTGCGTTAAGACAACACCACCTGCTGCAAGACATAAGACTGCTAAACCTCTGGTGTGGTGACCCCAGGTAAACAGGAGCCCCAGGGACGAAGACAAAAAGTGAATTAAAACACAACAGAGGTGTCAGGGTCATTTAAGTATCCTGATTTTTCCTTGCTGCAAAATCACAACTACACAAAAAGGGGTCACTGAATATTTGGTGCTGTGCAGGATACTACTTCAACTGCATTTACTTCAGGATTTATTAGAACTAACTTTGTGTGACGCGATTAGTGAAAAGATTTCCGAAGAGCACCTGAGAACTCCCAGACCCAGCTGATGGCAGCAGTGGCGCACCCTTCCTTTCTGCAGGCCCACTGACCTCCACAGCCTTAGAATGAGTGAGACAGCAAGAACACCTTCAGCCCTGCAGTCGAGCTTTCTCCCCTCATGGTACTGTCCTTACTTGGAAAGGAACAAGAAAAGGTTTATCCCACGCAGAAAAGAGGAGAAAAGTTTCACCCCCGAAGAAGGCTCCACAGCCGAAACGTTGTTTCATTTTTTCCCTTTTCAGCAAGGGAATAGACCTTTACTGGTTCCTTTGCAGCCTGTGCATGCTGACGCAGATACCTGCTTGAATTACTGTCCTTCTTTGTATTTGAATTCTAGTATCTTCTAATACATCTTCAGCGCGAGCCTGTGTGCGGCCCTGAATAGCCGTGCTGTAGCTGTAAACGCAGGGGAGTCCCTGGCAGGCCTGAGGAGTTCATTTCCTGGAAACGCGGCCTCAGGGACACAACCTCCTGAGGCTCCAGACGGCATCACCACCTTGACTTATTTTTGTAATAAGGACATGGTTAAATGGTTTCCTCCTTTGAAGGGAAAATCAAGCAAAAAAATCAAAAGAATGACAAGAAGAATTTGAGAAGCGGAAGTGCGGTTGTCACTGTCCAAGAAGAAAAGCTGAGAACTGTGAACGGGGCAGCTGACGCTCGCCCTGACTGCACATTCCCAGACTCAGCCTGCAGGCACGGTGAGCGTCACGGGGACAGAGGTGTGCTTCATGCTAATATATGACAAAAACACTCCACACAAGGAGTGTCACAGCAGCTAGAAATGAAAAGCTCACGAAGACCTCATCTTTTCAATGCCCTTGAATGAGCTCTTCAAAAAACGGGGAAGCAGATTTTTTCTCAGGACAACTATTCCCTGTTTCCATACGTATAGAAAGCTCCTGTTTTTCCCTGTCACCTTGTGGACGGAATTTGACACAAACCCAGGGTAACAGAAGACACACCACACTGTTATACTCCCAGTCCCCATCAGGGCAGAGGAACCAGACAGGCGGGACTCCTCTGACAGCCATCCCTGCCTAACAGCCACAAGACCCAGGACTCCTTCCTGTCGGAACCGGGTGGCACAATACAAAAATATTCATCCCCACCCTTCCCAGAGGATATGAAGCCTCTGTATATTATCTGTTTTCTTACATAAATATTTGTTTTCTCACGCAAATAAATATACAGATTAACTAACTTTGTATTGATGTAAAAAAAATCATTTTCATTCCTGAAATGGAGGAATCAATGCACTTATGATTGATTGATACATCAGAACGTGTGGCGTTTCTAAAAGACATAGACTTTTCCTAATTATGTTTAACCCGCCATGTTGTCCAAAAAGCAACATGTTTAACCAGCCAGTTTTCTTCATATAACTGCCAAATGTTCATCTATGCCAATTAACATTCTGGAGGAAGAAACACACACTTCTGACTGCTCTATTACAGCATGGGCTTGACAGTTGTGTTAATCATTACTCCAGAACACCCTTCACTTAGAACTTGCGACAAAAATATAGGCTGAGGCAGATAGGATGGGCCTGCAAAATATCAAATTCTACATGTAAAACACAGTAGATTATTGATAGAGTATTGTAATTTTTTGTATTCTAATGCTAAGGATTTTGATATTCTGGCAAAATACAAATACAGAATTCTTGATATCCATTAATAAGGACTTGCCAAGCAAACACATTTTAAACGAATAACCTTAAAAAAAAGTTTGTTCACATAGTAGTTAAATGACCATGCTGACACAAGTACTCTAAAACTCTTTGATCTACATTTTTTATTGCCTAAATTACCTTAACAGGCCTTGATGTACTAGCCAGTCCTAATGATAGCCACTGGGGAATAATCATATTGGGTATGAACCTTTGCTCCCCAGCAGGTGATAAGAGATATTGAAGCTGGTAATCCTCTTTCTACTGCTGAGGTTCTCTCATCAGGCAGCGTGAGGGAGAAAGGAAACAGGCCCACACCCATGTGTTACTAACTCACGCTTCAGGAAGTAATGTGTGGTTCTCAAATGAGTAATGAAGCTCAGAACATGACTTGTATAAACGATCTATATAAAGATCTCAGTTCTTCCATCCTCCATGACCTTGATGGGAGTGTTGACAACAGGTGCAAATCTTTCAGTTAAAGGCCAAGAAGCTTTACTTAATACGTCACTTCTACACAAACAAAAGTCAAATTTCTAAACAGTTATAAAGGCTAATCAGATCTATTGAAAAGTGAAAGGCCAGGTTTCGTGCCACATTTCCAAAAAGATCATGGAGTTGTATCGCGCCTGTCTAAGCCATTTCAGAAGCAACCCTCTTAGACAGCTATGATTCACAATTATCAACCAACCCGCACAGTTTTCATCTTTAAATAAAACAGCGGTGTTACAGAAATAATGTAGTATGCCCATTTATGCAAGGGGGAAGATCTAGCCCCTCACAAATTTAATGGTACTGTATGTTGAACCTGGGTCATTTTCCTTCACAGCAACGGGTCCAGTCACATGTAACATCAACTCTGACTAAGCCAAACCATTCTGCTCATGAACACACGAACAGTTGCAAACAAGACCAAATGAACTAGACATGAACTAGAAATGAACTAATCCAAAGAGCTCATCCAGCCAGTTCTTGAAAGAAGCCACAGAACTAGGGTATCGACTTCAACACACAGGCCTTTGGGTAAAGTAGTGCCCCCTGCTCTCCTGATTTTATATTGCCCTTCCAGCCCAGTCACTCATTTCCTTAAAAGGGGAACTGCAGTCCCAGTTTCTCAGACTGGTTATTAGATCTCAGTGCTAAAATAAATTCATTGATGGTATAGGAAAAAAACGTACAAATTTCAAATTAAGCAAAATATCTTGAACTTTGGAAGGTCCTGTTAACCGCCATGTTGTCACAAACCCCTGTGTCACAAGAGCGAATCTCGATGTGATGCAGCCCTTCCTGCTCACTAGTCACTGTGAAAGACTAGTGAAATGTGATCTATGAGTGACGAAGTACAGGTGGTGCAGCAGACATCTCACAGAGGAAATGTTCCGACGTGACCCGCGTGCAGAGTTAACAAGTAAGTAGTATTTGTCAAAACTGTCGAAGTTAAGAGCAATACGTCTACTGGACTGAAAGAGGTGTATTCACAAGCCTGCTTCTTTACAATGTCACAGGATCGCATCACTTCACCAGAAGCTGAGCTGCCTTGTTCTGAATCACAGTATACAGCGCTGCACATACCTGAAAATTGAGTCTACTTTGTGATGCAAATTGGAGGTTTTACACATTACTGTGTGCCTTTTGTGTTTTACTTTGGTTTGAAAAGCAGTCGTCGACGCCCATTTTAACCAGGCCGATACTCTTTCCTTTTTTTGCTTCAGACAACTTCACTGTGGATATAGAAAGCAGGGCAACGAGGCACTACATTCCGATCCTCCCCGGGCGAAGGCAGCGTCTGGCCTCTGAAGCGCCTCGGCGTGACTCTGTAACGCGGGGAGGGCGCAGCAGACAAACCTGTCTCCGCTCCCGGCGCGACAGCACGTGCCCGTTGAGAATCCTCCACAGCATGCGGCCGGCGATGGTGGTGTCAATCCAGAGCAGGCGGAAGCCGTGGTAGTAGTGCTTGACCTCGTCCACCACCTTCTGTCCCAGGGACTTTCTGGCGGGCTCCGTGTCCACGCTGGGGCTGTACACCGGCCCGCCCTCCTCCAGCTTCTTGTTTTTGTCCTTCAGAGACTTCAGGGATTTCTCCACCTTGGAGTCGTCGCGCAGCCGCCCGCTGCAGTGCCACCACCGGACCGGGGTGTGCGGAGGCCCCGCCGGCGTCACAGCGCCACCCAGGGGCCGGGAGGGGAAGGCGCCCAGCACCCCGCAGTACAGTCTCCGCGAGCGGGCCGGGTCCCCTGGGCACGAGGGTGGGCTGAGCAAGGCGGGAGCGACGCCGCTGCCCCGGAGTGCGACATTCCTGCGGGACACAGGCGCAGTCAGGGGAGAGCGGACGAATCAGAATCTCAGAGTCAGGGCTCTCCAAAATACAGTAAATACAACCCCCCACCCCCACTACCCACTTTAAATTAGCTTCCCATATTGTAAAAACAGACACAGGACGGATGAGCGAAGAAATTCACAGATGATCAGCGTTATGATCATCAGAAAGGTTATAAATGGGAAAAGCCCTTCACCACATCTAGCCTGTTTGGTAGTTAGTAGGTAATTGAGCCTGGGATCGCATACAGCCTTTTCCTGAAAAGCTTCAACAATATGGCTGGGCAGCCTGTCCAACACTCCCACAACTCTCGGTGTAAAGAAGTGCCTCCCCCCCGCTTGAAGGCAATGTGCTCCCACAGACCGTTCTTCGGCAAAGCCAGGCTGTACTGCGACTCGCTGCACAAATAAGTGTTCAGATCATTAAAGGGAGTGTCCAGATAAAGACCTTTTCGGAAACAGTCTCGCAGTGATCGAACTGGAAGACCTAGCAGTGCCAAACCCTGGGGTCAGATGATGGGATTTAGGGATGATGTCAATGCATGTATCATATGCCATGAAAGAACTGGCTGACAACCCTCACATGGCCATATTAAATAATAACAGACTGACCAGTCCTGTTGTCATTTCTGAACCGTTATTATTTGTCAGTTTTAACACATTACCTTTGGCTTTTCAGTCTCAGAGCTGTGCAGCTGAAACACATCATTTCCTGTAGTTTCCCTGCAAACAGAGAGAGAAATAAGCTGCACTGTAATCATGGGTACATTAGGTTATAATGCTCACTACTTAATATAAAGAAGGTCAGATTATACAACACATATGGGCACAATACTTTAGCGATGTTTAAAGCCTTTTTTTATTGTACTGTATTTCGTGTTTAAGGGGAAAACTGTTCTCTGGCGCCGAGTTCCAGTCTATTAATATGTAAACAACAGGCCCACAAAGCGAGAAAATTTCAAACATTAGACAAGAGCACATTCAGCTAATTACCTGAACACCTGTTTCTCTGACGTGAGGGGCAGGAGAAAAAAGGGCCCTGTTAAAGGGCTTGAGTGAGGAGCTGCAGAGACTCAGGTTAACTGTACGTCACACACCGAGCTTGGAGCACCTGTCTGGGCACATTATGTGAAAGTATACATTTTCCCTGCGCCAATAGCCTAGCAACTTGATTTTACAGACCCCGTGTAATGCATCACAGCTCTGTGGTAAACTGTTAAACTGATAATTAACAATTTATTTATACATACTTGCTTTCTTTAGTCATTTTATTGAGAACATGTAGTTATACTACAGTGGGACAGGTGTTTTGAGAGGGTTCTCTTCCGTCAACAGGCTTCAAACAAAAAAACTGAGAGTGTTTTTGTGATCATCACACGGGAGATATTTCTTCTGCAAGCACACTAGGAATATTTCACATACAAAAGCGTCTGGACTATATTAATACAGGAACAAGTAAGAGGTTTATTCCATGCTGAAAAAAAAGAAAACACAACGTTTCGGCCGTGGAGCCTTCTTCAGGTGTGTGCTCCTTTGCAGCCTACGCATGCTGACGCAGCTACCCACCTGAACTATATTAATACAGGTTTTGCAAGGAGAGATTAAATACAAATGATCAGCAAAAACAATATAACATTCCTAAACATGCCTCATCACTTCACTAGAGACAATGACACTGCATATTACTTTTTTGTAACTACTAACTACTATACTAAGCTGTACTGAAAGGCCCACAGCTTCATTTCCTAGACAGAGAGACTAAGACAGACCTTAACCTGAGGCTGCCCTGCTGTGGCAGTTATTTACAAGCAGGCATGACCTACTACATGGGCTCTTAAACTCACTATCTAGCCTTGTGGGGCAGGGCTCCCCTCACTCTGGGGGTGACACACAGGCCGGGGGAGAAACTCCAGCAGGACACGTGGACGTGACCCGCCAGCGCGGAGCTCTCCACCCAGTCTGGGCCCGAGCACGGTGTGGGAGCCCACCACCCAGCACATCACTCACGCTGACGACCGTCTCCCCCCAATGTACAAATTCAGCACTTCATGATCTCCTCCTCGTCCACAACTGCAGCACAATCACGGCTCTACTAGTTACAGCATTTTGAAGGGAATAACAGCCTGCAGGAAACAGCGACTGCCACGTGCACTTCAGAGCCGTCTGTATTGCGACTACACTACGTGTCCACAACACTGCTTTAATACTAGAATTAAAAGCGCAATATACTGTGCAATACATGTATTTTTCATTTTTCTTTCAAAAATAAAAGCATTGCCTATTTCCTATTCAGTAAAAGGCATTGCAAAAAATCCTTTGACTCGCTTTGAATAGGAAGATATGAATTCCTATTAAACTTCTGTTTTTTGGCAACAAAACATTTGAACACACAATGAGTTTTCAATGATTAGTTGGTGGTCAAAATCTTCTCTTAATTAAACGACTGCTGGATTGTTTTGTTTTAAGTATCGAGTTACAGGTCACTAGCAGGGATAATAGAATTGGTAAGCAAGGAATACCTTCAATTTCAGACATTGCTTTCAAGATGAACGTACACTTTAAATACAGGTCCAATCCAGGTGTGGACTGCTTCAAGGCGCGTCTGGCGTGACCCAGCTGTGGGAAACATCTTCAGCTCACGTTTTGATATTCAGCTTTCTTAGCTGAAAACGGCAGAATTACATTTCCAGCAATGAACTGAGAACACCGCTCTGTGGCCTGCAAGATGCAGATGGCCAGCTAGCTGTCTGCCACTACTGGCTCATCCTCACCAGGCTCTGCAGCGTTGCCATTCCGCGATTACAGAAGTGGCCACTGCGGTGAGCCAGAGTACTTGTCAAGTCCGAACCCCACTCTGCTAGGTTCACTATCCCAACCTAAGTTGATACTTCTCTGCTTAGATTCAGTGGGTACCAACTACCTGCAAATTCTTACCGTGGATATTTTTCTCTAAGACACTTAATTACTTAACCTTCGCCGTTAGTTATGCAATACCCAAAATGTCGCCCTATGGGGTGGCAAAGTGGTTGGCATTACTGCCCCGCAGTGCTGAGGCCCTGGGTCCAATTCCCAGTGGGGTGCTGTCTGCGCGGAGTCTGTACATTCTCCCTGGGTTTCTTCCAGGTGCTCTGATCTCCTCCCGGAGTCCAGAGCCATGCTGGTGTATTAACTGGCTTCTGGCTGCTGACCGTGGTGCGAGTGTGTCTGTGTGCCCTGTGATGGACTGGCGTCCCGCCCAGTGTGTATCCTGCCTTGCGCTCATCACTTGCTGGGTAAGGCTCCAGCTCCCTGTGCCCCTACACTGAGCAAAGCAGTTAGAAAATGGATGGATGTAGTGCTACGTGTCTAACTCCTCTTTCCATGTAAGACAGACTGTAGCATACTGCAGCACGATGTATCTTATTATTTTTGATGCAATGCCAGCAAAGCTTAAATGTGTCAAACGTGAAAACACACAGGTTTGTTTGAAGTCTCTACTGATTTTAAGTATACTTCACCACTAAATACTTCTTCGCAATTTCGTTTGATAAACCTGTAAACAGAAGGTGAAATGGATCTTGGAATGACCCACAAAACCTGAGCTCTTCTGCTGTGGAAAGTGTACTGGTCAGATGATGACCCCCTGACCCGTGGGAGAGGTTGGAGTGGAAGTTCCAAAATTGTTCTTTACCTTTCTAGACACAAACCAAGAGAGCAACAGAATCAATAAAACTAAATGCTGGGTTGACTGACCTCTTATCATTTGTATTGGACTTTCTGAAATTGAGGCCTGGGCAATGTCATTAACCGAGTATGACTAGCAATCGTCAAGAGCAGCAAACAATACCAGCCCCAGTGACTTCAGTCTGCCTCATTTCTTAAGCTGCCTAAGGTGCTGATTTAATTACATACCACTTACCACATCATGACACTTAAGTTGAGCAAGCCAGGACTGAGACGTGATACAGTGTCTTCTTACAGGAAATCACAGACTTAGCCTGAGGGAACCTCCCCAGTTGCTTTCTCTCTATACTCCATTTTTACAGAGGATTTACATTTTATACAGTATAAAGAAAAACACAAATTGTACATCTCCTGCCTGTTTGTTGTTCAGTTTGATTTGACTTTTTTCCACTAAACCGGTTGTTCAGTTTAAATAAAGTGAGAATATTGTACGAATTGAACTTCAAACTAGCTTGACATTTCCGTTCTGTTCCACATTTCCACAACAGTTTATAAACAGGGCCACAGTCTCAATGGGTAACAGCATAACATTATACACAAACAATGATTGCAAGATAATTAATTAAAGGTATGTGGCTAATAAATACAAAACAAACCCCACATTTTAGTGTCATTCAGAAATTGAGCAGCATGCACTGGAAGTGGCTCTCTTCTGTCTAGACAGAACTTTCATATGAGACGTCAGACCGGGGTCCTGCCTACTTGGTCATAATGGATCTCGGTGGTCATTGAGGAGACATGTTCAACAATACTTAGTCCAAAACAGAGTCATGATGAACTGCCCGGGGCCTAACCGGGCACACAAGGGGAGCAGGACACTGGACACACCCTGGATGAAATGCCTGCCCTGTTTTTAGCACACACATATCAGGTACAAGTTGGAGACGCCAACGCAAAAGGACAGCATGTCTTCGGGAAACTGGAACAACAACAGAAAACCCATATGGTCAAGGCAGACCATGCAAACTCCACACATATGGCAGCAGCTTAACCTACTGCACCACTGGGCAGCCAGTTATGGTTTCTATTTTTATTGATATAATACAACTTATTGTTATCCCTTGCACACACAGTACGAATTTGGATTGAGGTATTCTTTAGGGGTGATGGAATGGAGTCAACTTCGAGACCTCTCCTCAGTACCAACTCAGGGGCTTCAAGAAAGAACACCCTGATGAGGAAGACGGGCTAAAAACCTTTTCCATCCAAAGACTGGCATTCACAATGTCTACTCGTAGACAACAGTGCGGATCACAACAGTCTGTCAGACCACTTTCATTCTCTCATGGTGCAAAAACAAATAAGACCTGGAGAGAATTTAAGTGGGCAAACATTTTTTGTTCTCTTTTTCAACTAGGGAAAAATGAGAAACAAAGTGTGCAACTGGTTTAGATAGCACAGCCCTTCTGTACCGCTAAGGGAGAGAAGCTGCTCTGTCACTCAGGGTAAGGCTAATGAGGATTTCAAATATCTGGCCATGGATTTATCAGAGCTGGCCCTGCCGTAAAGGCAATTAATCTGAACCAGTGCATCCGCCACAACACAAAGAGTTTAGTCTGCTCTTTCTGCAGGCCTTGAAACGCTGAAGAAGGAAGGTGGCTCTCCAAATAATTACACTGCATAGAAAATTACACCAGCAACACTTCAGGGGTCAAAAAAAATTTTCTGTGAGAAATAAATTCAAATATGTTAGTCGGTAATGTCTGTAATTTGTCCTGTTTAAGGGTCAAATAAAATTACAGACTGTGATCTCTGTAATTTGACCTGTTTAGGGGTAAAAAAAAATATTGTGTGATAAATGAGGTCAAATAAGTTATTCTGCAGTGTCTGTAATTTGGCCTGTTAATTATTTTATTGACAAAACATTTTTTTCATGCAAAATTCACCTTCGACATCAAAAGTGCAGGACGGAACAGAGGTCAGGGGGCAAGTCTCCGACACAGACACCGCTGTGAGACAGTCCTACACAAACTGTCATGGCATCATTCTCGGTCTGCTTTATGCTATGAACACCAAGATTAAATTAGAACATAAGAACCATTACGAACAAGCCGCCGCCATCTGGCCCATTTAACCCAAATTATAGTAAATAACTGATCTAAGGTATCTCGTCCAGTAGCTTCCTGAGATACTGGCTTCACCAGCATGGCTGGGCAGCTTGTTCCTGCCTCCTGCTGCACATCCCCTTGAACACAGAACTTGAGGCTGGTATAGCTATTTTGAGTGCACTGGCTTCCCTGCAGCATAACAGCACTACCACTGTGCTCAAAGGTTAGTAACCATTAAAACTGCATTCAGACTGTTTTTAGAGGAGGGTGCTGGAAAGAGAACGACAGTGATCCCTGTACTGTAACTACTGCACACTGACACCGCTGGCAAACTCAGGCACATTCTGTTGCACAGCACAGAACTACAAACTAGAATGTTCCGAAAACGGAAGTGTTATCTGTGGGATAAGTTCAGAATTCGGTATTTATTTATACTAATATTTATTTGTAGAATTCATTACTACCATTATAATTCCATTCATCGATTATCGGAGAGGGTGCTTACTGTCTGACTCATGGGGGGGTACGAAGACGACCCTTCGGACGGGACACCAGTCCATCACAGGGTACGCACACAAACACACCAAGACCCTCCCAAACAGTCCGGACAGACTTGCAGGCTGACCTACATCAGATGCTTTATTTTTTTTTGCAATAATTGTATGTAATTGATCATGTAAACAAGCAATTTGTCTAATTAAGGAAACTCTGCGCATGGAGGGCGGAAGGGGAGTTTTGAATTCTGTTCCAAATGATCTCTAAAATACTTGATTTGATAAATTACCCGTTTAGCTGATGACTGTAACATTCTTTCAGATCATCGGAAATCAAAGAGTTAATGGTGACCTGTAAAATCTGCAGTAGAGGAGCTTTGCTGAAACTATACTGAGATCCCCATTTTAATACACCAACTGACTTGGTGCCAGTATATTTTTGGAAATTGGTAGGAAAACCAGGGTGTACAGAGAAAACATGCAGGATACCCTACATTTTGTATATTTGCTCATAAGTAAATGCGCTCAAAGAGGGTAGCACCTAGAGTTGAAAAACGATTTGACTAATAGAATTTTTCCAATTAATAAACTATCCTACTTTATTAGGATACGTTAAAAAATAGCATAATTTGGCTTATAGGTTGCTTCAATACTTTTCAGATCCATTGAATCTAAAACGCAAACTTCAGAAGGCAGCTGCCCACAGCGGATCACGAGGAAACGTAGATTTATCCCCAAAACGTAAACTTACAGTAAAACTGCTTACCAAGGTCAGATATTACAGCAGGCAGTATATACTGTGTAGATATTCTAGAAGGGCCGCGCTCTGTCAGGGAAACACGTGTCAGTCACCTTATTGTGCCTGAATAACCATGTGTCCTAAAGAGAACGAAACGCAGAGGCGGTGGTAGGGGTTACCAGACACTGTTTATAGATCTTTCCATGGCGACTGAATGCACCCGGTTCATCTGATGCGATTTCTCTTTACAAATCACAAGAAATTGATACCACGTAAGAATAAATCTAAACACTTCCTTAAGATATGCGGCTAGTGGCTGTACTGTTTGGTTGTTTTTTTTCCACTACTCCATAAAAAGTACTATTCACCATAAGAAAATAACCCATACTTGTGTACATATATACGTTTTTTACAGAAAAGTCCCAGTGCTGTATAGGTAAGTATTGGTTCCTATAGAGAACTGGGATATTTCCGTACAGAATCCTTCAGGTTATTTTCATTAAGGGGACTCAACAATGAAAGCAATGCGATCGGGAAGACTTTCACCTGTCACCTGTGCCCAATGTGTCTGGGAATAATTCGCACTTCATCACACAGAAAGCCAGCAGAATCAGCAGTTTTGATCTTCCCACACCGGCGAGGGTCTACAGTACAAGTGCTTTAGGGAAAATCAGTCGACACTGTCATCATACAGTATATAGTATAGTGATTTATCCCGCTTACAGCGCTCCGCTCGGTTTTCCAACTGACCGCCCAACACTGTGGTCGTAATGACTCAAAAAAACGAGCTTTTTGTTCGTTTAACCCCGGAGGTACTTATAATCACGATCTGTTGTTTCGGCGAAGCAGAGAAACATGATCCGGGAAGGTCAAGGTTTGACACTTTAACAGATCTAAGCCTACGGGCTCATATTCACTGTCAACACACCAAACAGCCACAATGGAATATGACACACACACACACAAACAACAACAGTTAAGCATCATTTCATCAATGATGAAAATGTACATTTACTATCGTACCTTTTCTGAATTCCCTGCCCAGTGACCCAGAGATTTTCTTCAGTGGAGATCGGGATCTCGTAAACAGGATTAACGCCATTTTGTTTGATTAGGGACTTTAAAATAAATAAAAAATAATAAAAATAAACAAAAAGAGTATATTTATTTGCTGTGACTCAGTCTCTGTAGTTCTGGCCCCATGTCCTTTCTGCGCCTCGGCGATGTGTATGTCGCCTCCTGCTTTCGCTTCCGTCTTCCTCAGAAGACTGCAGTTTCAGCCAACTGGGTGCAACACAGACCGTTACATTTTGACGTGATGCAAAGCGTCGCCATTTTGGCGGCGCTTTCTATTTGCTGACAAAGGGGTGATTCAGAAGGCGATGTGTCGAGCTGCTCTGAGTCTGGCTAGAATGGATGTCAATCAAGTTACGTACCGGAAGAGAGGGCGGGTGCAAGTGCAAGTGCAACAGAGTCCATTGTGGCTCAACGGGTGGATGGGCGCTGTACAGGAAATATTAAGTTTTGAGGTGCCTAAATGGCGAACAAAGAATGTAGTTTCTTTACTTGAGCCTGCCCCATCGTTGAACCCTGGCCTGGACGTCGCACGGCGAGCTGTAAGTTCACGCAGTTCCATTTTGAAACGAAAGCTTAAGGAATGGGACTGTAGTATTTATTGTGGAAGAGAAGACAATGTTTTATAGAAGGGATCAGAAACAGTTCTCGCAGATTATAGAGCCTGGCCAAGGAAAATGAATGTTTGTTGATTTTTTTTAAATGCGTTATTTCCAGATTTGGCCGTTCAAACGTTTTGTCAAGGAAAGGACAGCTAGTTTGGGTACTTTGTAGTACAGTGACGCTACACGTGGATTGAATCTCGTGTGTGGTTTGGGTTGGCATTACCCTGTCGCATTTCACGATGCTGGATGTACAAACATCTCTCTAGTTGTTCACAATTTGTCTAACAGGGAGGGTGTTTTGAGGCTACCTCCACACTTAAGGTGACAGGGCATCTAATATGATTACTCGGCAGTTATAACTTTGGTTACTGTTCTGCACATGCAATTCCCGCGTCACAGTAGAAATCTGCTTTTCATGAATGGAGGTGTTTTGTCGGTGTCGGGAAATCGTTTGATACGCGAATACTTTGAGCACATGCATTAACTAATGGGCCATTTTGATTTCAGTCGAACACGGCAGTGTTTTAAACGTATTTCATGCTAAAATACTCGGAATTAGTTAACGAATTTATTCATTTGGATTTTTTTTAAATGGCGAGGCAGTTAAAAGTTAATCATCCTAAACTTTTAATTGCTTAACAATGCAGATTTATTATCTCGCAAAGACTGTTTCCTCGGATAATCTGATTAGGGTGTTCTACCAGTGTGGTGAAGAAGTCAGTTTCCACTCGTTAAGATCAGTAATAGTTCGAGTGCTTGTTTTAACACTTCTGTATCCCTTGTTTGTTTGACCATGGTCTACAGCCACAGCCCTTATCTATGGGCTTGGTAGACTGAGAATAATTTAAAAAAAAAGGTTGAATCTGAATTACAAGGTGAGATGTTTATTCTGGATCTCATTCTTAATACATAGAGAAAATGCTTTTATTTGTTTTGTCTGGTGCTTAAAGATTAACATGAGACATACTGATTCAAATAAGAGCTTTTCTCTGAAGTGTTTTGATTGTGGCATCTGATGAATTTAATGTTAATTTACAAAAATTCGGAGTAGCATTTGTACTACTCAGAAATCTTGTCCTGTGGTATCCTGTAATTCCTGCTTCAAAAGAAGATGTGGTGTGATCATTATTTGTGTTAGTTTTTTAATGGTTAAATTAATCTATGCTCCTGCTATTCTGTTATTTTAATGCTAATTCAATTCAACTTTATTGTCATTAAACTTACACAGGTGCATTGTATAATGAAAAGTGTTTCTCATTAGTCACTCAGGTGCAGTATATAAATAGGACAGAAGATAAGACAACAGACAGTTACACAATAGCAATAATAGTAACATGAAATAACATAACATAAATAACATGTAATCAAGTAATCAAAACTGTGCAAAATTCCGCAAACAGAGAAAATATAACAGGACAAAAACAGTGCAAGGTAATTCTTGGAACAGTGCAAAAAATAAGTGTGGTTAAAAGTAGTATGGTTAATTAATATTTAATATTATTATGCCTGTTACAATTTTACTGGGCTATCGAGGGGACAGTCCAATTTTGGCTTACATGTGTGTGTGTGTGGTGTAGGAGTACAGTGGTTGTGGGTACAGGAGGGTGTTAGGAGAGATCATAATAAGGTGGAAGGGAGTGGGGGCGTCACCAACTTGACAGCTCAAGTTGAATATAATTATATTCAACATCAAATTTTCATGTGTATTCACAAGCACCCTCCAAGTTATGAATACCAGACCTAGACCGGTTTGAATGGATATACTGCACATGTATATATATTATTTATTTGCTTTTTTCTATTTCATGATTTCTACAGCTGAGTATTCAGGTTTAGAAAATGTATGAAATAAAGGCATATTTACTGATCGTATGTAAATAAATTACATAACCACTTAAGAAAATTTAACAATTGAGCATGAAATTTATTATATTTTTTATCAGGTCATTTTTAGGCACTATGCAACCTAAAGTTGAAGATTGCAGCCCACTCTGGTTTTACTGTCTACTGTGAGGTCAGAAAGGATTCCTTTAGCTGTATCCCGAGCAGCATATAAAAACAGTCACTACATTCATTTCAATAGCACCCACAGGGGGAGAAGATGACCTGCAGTCTTTGGGTAGATGTTAAATGGTGATTTAACTAATTTACCCCTTTATGAGGTTTAACTGGGTCAGTTAGTGCCTTTAATGTTAAAAAAGCACGTGATACCCATTTGAATTGCGTGGTAGGTAATAAAAAAGTTTACTTTTACAAGGAACACCTCTTTATACAACAATGATGTCTGTGACTAGAGCCCATTTAGTTTTTCTCCTCTTGTAAAAAGCAAAAAAAAGGTCTAGGAAGTATAGTCCATTTCTAAATGTATTTTTACAACAACAATAACAGTAATAATCTATTTTATATAACAGCTTTAAAGGTGGCTCCTCAAAGGGTTTTACAGAAAAAAAGAGAACAGAATCACACAATTCCCATAAGGGTTTGGAATACAGTAGGAAAGCAAAGGAGCAGAAACTCCTTTAATGCAAGTTTGGTTACATGCGTGTGAAAATTCCCAGGAGAAAAGCTACAATGGCATTATTCAGCATGTTTTAGCTTGTGAAGATCCATTCATAGGGCTGGGATGTTTTGGGGTCTATCGTGAGTGTGTGTGGGGCGGTTCATTTGAAAATGCAGGATTGTTCGAGACAGTTTTGTAGCTGTGAGGTATCAGGTCTGCTCCTTTACTTCAGCACTACCCTGTGGTGTGCTAGTGCACAATGACTTTCATGTCCATGTAAATATTAAGTTGTTCTTAATCCGAACGCATTCCTGTGTAATGCAGAGCTAATACAGTCTAATGCCAATGTATGTGGTTGACGCTTTTATCCAAAGCACCTTATATTTACACCCATTTATACAGCTCCTTTTATAGGAGCAATTTCAGTGAAGTACATTGCAGGTTAGACCCACATCCTTTCTGTTACAAGTAGAGAATTGAAAACACAGCACCATGCTGCTGCCCAGATATGATATTAATGTTGTGCATAAAAATGTATATATACATATGAGGATGTGTCAATAAATGAAGAAATGAAAATTTCCTTGGTTGTGCCTTTATTTGGACATAGCTGCTGCAGGTATAACCAGTTAGGTCATGCTGTACATCACTCTCCAGGTCTGTTGGGGCCTGTTTGTCCCAGCTGTAATCTGGAGTGCGGTACGACAAACCTCTGCCACAGTTCTAAGCTCAAGACAACAATTAACTGCCTGCTGCACTTTGCTGTTGGTTGCACCTCCTCTGCTGTTGCGACAGGTGCTTTCGGGCACTGAAGAAATGCAAATTCTGGACTGGAAGGCAGTTCAGAGATGTAAGGTGGGTACGACCCTTAATGCAGTGAAGACTCATAGGTGTCTAAGCATCATCGTGCAACCAGATCACACCCAGATACAGCAACCCAGAGAAGAAGGGCTCCCTCTGAAGCACTTCAGCACGGGACAGTAGCACACAGTGTTACATTTGCACAAGGCCAGCCTTCTTTAAACCGTAATGGAGTGGGGGTGGTGCAGGGCCACGGGAGACTTTATTGTTTCCCCTGCAGCTCTGGGGTCCTGCGAAGTATTCTGGGCTAGGGTGCCTTCTGTGTGGAGTTTGCATGTTCTCCCTGGGTTCATGTCCCACCTTCCAGGGACATGTGGGCCGGTTCTGTTTGCCTGCCCCCCAGGCTGGTCTCCCTGGTCCCCGCTCTCCGACTGAGCGTGGAAAGAGACATCATCTCCATGACAGGTGTAGACATGGAGGACAATCCCAGACAGGTGCACACTCGCAGGGGCACGTAAGCTGCAGGGGGCAACTTCCCCCTGGGCCCCGAGAGCCCTCATTACCTGATTAAGGTACATACCCATGTGTGCAAGACCCAAAAGTGACCTGTACACTTACTGTGATCAGCAACAAGCACTACCTTGAATTCAACCCTGATTAACATTAATAAGGCCCTGAAAGATAGGAAACCAAACTATTAATTTAAATAAAGTTTACAACTGTGGGGAGGGTCACTCAGCCCATCGCGATCTAGCATTAAATTCTGGAAAGAAGACTAGGAATAAAAATCCTGCTTTTCCAACATGTCTGAGTAGATTGTTCCATACACCTCCAAGCTTTTGTGTAAAGTAGTTCCTCATTTTTTCAGTTTCCTAAAAATGCCACACGTTCTATTGTTGTATATGATTGTCTATATAGGCTGTATAGGTTAGTATTTTACTTAAATCTAAGATTCTGGAACAAGGTACCCAACTATGAAGTTGAAGCCAGCACATAGTGTATATATTAAACGTCAACATCCTGGCTTCCTGCAAGAAACAGCTGGATGAGACCCAGGAAGATAAACAGGCTGGGTGGCTTCTGCTCATTTGTAACCTTCTTCAAATCCAACGTAATTACCAGTCCAGTTTTGTTTGAAACCGGTCCATCTTAAAACATTTTTCCTTTGTCACGCCTTAACTGAAAACGTTAGATAAAATCCCGAGTTTGACATCGGAAATCGGTGTCCATTATTTTTTTTTTTAAAAAAGAGGACGTTCGCTTGTATGACATTCAAATTCATTCGACTCGAGTGAGTCATCTAATCCCAGCAGCCGAAATGTACGTTGGTATCATGCGGTCATCAGCCTGTGGCGGTGCGTGTTCACTCCAGTGCAATCGTTTAGTTAAGAAGCTCGTTTGGGAACGTGTTGTGACTATAGCGATAGTGGGCATATTCAGTCAGCACACACACACAAAAACCAATACGTTTAGGCTTTTAGCATCGCAATTTGTGTCTGAGGTACTGATGTTTCTCTAAAGAAGAAGAAAAAAAAAGCGTCCCCGCCACCTTCCAATATTTTTAACTCGTTCACCATGACAACGAATTACACATAACGATGGCAGGGGCTGCACGTGTAGAGAACCGGGGTTCCGGGAGTTTCGGCGTCCTGTTATCGCGGGTCCCCCCCCCCCAACCCAACCCAACCCTACCCGGCTGCTCCGCTGTGCCTGTCGCCTCACCTCGCAGCCGGCCGCAGACAATGTCAGCCCGGGGCTCGGCCCGGCTCGGCTCGGCGCCGCGGCGGCCCGGCCCGGCCCGGCTCTCCCAGCTCCGCTCGGGCGAGCGCCTTTCCCCGGTGACGTCACGCGAGGAGGATGCCTGCCTCGCTGCTCATTTGCCGACGCGGCCGGTCCGAGGTGCTGCTCTCGGCTTGACCGCTCCCGCTCCCCATCGGCCGCGGGGAAGGAAACCTGTCGACAGGGACGTCGGAGCAGTAGCCAGGAGCCGGGATAGAGACAAGTAAGGCGATCCCGTTCCCGAGAAGCGCCCGGAATGCTTTATGGGGCCCGGTCGGAGCAGGTTTTTTTTTGAAAAGGCCGGTTAAACTCTGCTGCCGCTGCCAACCAATCCGAAGTGAGTATTTTTCGCGCTGACTGGGATTAGAGTTCCTGCAACTCGCATTGATTATCGCTGCAATACTCGGCGCTTGGAAGATGCTGCAAACAGGTTAATATCTCTCTCTTTTTGCCTTCTTTCACCATCGTGTGCACCACCGCGCTCAGCGCGTTTCGCCGTTAGGGTCGCGCCGTGCCGTGCCGCCTGGAAGCGCCTCGCTCGGGTGTTTTTTTTTCCTCCTTCTCTCTCTTTATATCCCTTTAAACTAAAGCGGAGGGGTTAGTGTGTTACTTGCACTGTGCCTGGGACGGGCGAGTGAATTGTATTTCAGCACAGGGAGGCGTGCATTTTTAAAAGCAAAAAAAAAAGAGAGAGAGATAGAATCGGCTGCGAAGTTGTTCGCCGGGTAGCGTTACCGTCCGAGATCAATGTGGTTGTTTCACGATTCTGACCCGGGGAGGGGGGGTAGCCAGCGTTTCTTCGGGCATTTTTTTTTTTTAATTCATGCACGGAATGAAAATCGCTCTGTTTCTCGCGGGGCCTACCCGGGCAGCACGGCAATGCCTGCAGTCCCGGCCGGGGTGTTTGTCCGGCCCGGTAGCCGCGGGGCTCGGGGCTCGCTGGTGGCCGCCCGTGATGGCAAGGGGCTGGGGGGGGTTAGATCTGCACAGCCTCCACAGTGCGTCTCGACCCGCGTGTGTCGCCGTGTTATTTTCGCTGGACCCCGCAGAGAGCTGGCTGACCCGCTTGGGGGGCTGTTGATCGTCTGGGGGGGACGGGGGGACAGGGGGACAAGCCACCGCTGTTGGTCCTGACGTTTGGTGCCTACCTGGGAGGAGAGATCACGGCAGGAAGGGACTTCGCTCGGGTATGTTTTTGTGGATTGATGCGTGTGGGTGAACGAGCATTTCCACCCGGGGCTCAACCCCCCCCCTCTTCTATCCGCCGAGACCTTGCCCTTCGTGTTTCTCCCGCGACGCCGGCAGTGGGACTCCGCTGCCCGGTACAGGCCGGTCGCCAGGGGCAGCAGGCAGCCGGCTCGTCCCCGCAGGTCTCGCCCCGGTGCGCCGCCTGTGAGCTGCGCCTGCGGGCGAGTCCGTCGTTATAAAACGCGATCAACACTTTTCCTTTTCGGCGGAGCCCTGAAACGCTGTTTAATGCGGAGGTTTTTTTTTTTAATTCATTTATTTTGAAGGAGAGGCGGCGGCGGCGGGGGTGGTGGTGGCAAAGCGGCCTCCTCGTTAAGAAAGCGCATTCGGATCCCGGCTCGTCCTGGTGGGGAAACGCTGGGTTTCTCCCAGTGATGGTGGTGGGGTGGGGAGACGGGGAATGCCGTGGCATACTGGAGGAGTTTCGTAGCTCTTTTTTTTTTGAATGGGGAAGCCATGTTTGAGATGGGCAGTGCTCGCTGCGCTGCGGTTAGGACAGCCCAGCGCTGCCCGCACCGCTCCACGCGTGTCCAATCCGCGGCGCTCACACCGGCTCCGGCTTCGCGGGAGCACACGTTAGGAAAAAAACCTCGGCGACGCCTGGCGATCTCCAGAGCACTTGAGTTTTTTTTTTTGTTTTGTTTTTTTTTTTGCTTTTCTTTTTTTTGTCTTTCAGTTTGAACAGGTACTATTGAATCTTTCGCCCACTGATGCTCGTCTTGGGCGTCTCACCGGGCGGTTTGTCTTCCCCCCCCCCAAAAAAAACCCTTGCTTCGTGATTAAATTTCCTCGAAATCTTAATTTTCACCCCCAGCGACCCCCCACCCCCCCGCAGCTCAGTAGCGAACCTCTATCAAAAAATCATATATATAAATGAATGAATACATGGAAAAAAAGAGGATGGGTTGTGCGATTTGAAACCCTGAGTGTTTGTCCGTGATAAAAATTCCGGGAGTTTGTAGCTGGTATAAATTAAAACTTATCTGTGTGCAGGAAAAAAAACCCGAAGAGCATTCCCACCTCCCCAGACTGGCCAATGCCAGCTTCATTTCGCGCTTAGACGATGTGAGTGGGACCGATCTGTGGGTCATCCCGATATTTGGTCTCGGTGATGGGTTCGTGGTTAAGGTTTCCTCTACCAGGCGGCAGTGGGTGGTCCACCCAGCGTGTTTTTTAAAAGGCCTTGAGTGCTATCTCCTCATTTGCAGGCACTGATCTCTTTATAATGGTACCGGGGTCGGTGCTGAGGAAAGTTTCATTGAACGTTTTCCTTACGTTGCAAGCCGTACTGCACTTTTTTTTCCTGTTAGTTTCGACAGTGTGGTTCTTTGTAGAAATTCAAACCTTTGTAATGTGATCTTTCCTAAGTTCGTAGTGAAGGCCGTTTCTGGTTTCTCCCAGCCCCACTACCTGATGTAGGAGGTTGAAAATGGTTGTTTAACAATGGTCAACCTTCCACCTTAAAAAGGTTTTAGTCATTTTTTTTTGTTAATGGGTCTCATTGCCTTGTAAGGTCACCCATCCACAGGGTAGGTTCTGTGTGAGGCCATGTGAAAATCTCACACTAAACTTGTGGAGTGGTGGTCAGTTTTCTGGATGCCTGACAGGAGGGAGGGCCAGGGGTTCAATTCCAGGAGAAGGGGGGGTACTGACACTGTACCCCCGAGTGGGACACCTCCCCCCGGATCTCTCCCAGCAGGCCCAGCTGTAGAAAGGGGCACCTGACATTGTAAAACGAAGCAGGCATCTAAAAAGTTCCAGTCGGGAGCTGCGTCAGCATGTGTAGGCTGCAAAGGGACAAGTAAAGGTTTATTCCGCGCTGAAAAGAGAAAAAAATAAACGTTTTGGCTGTGGAGCCTTCATCGGGTGTCAAAAAAGTTTATCCAAAATGACTGTTTTTTTGGGGGAAGCACAGGGGCGAGAATTCCCAGGCGTGACCTTTGCCCAAGAGAGCCCAGACTATTGCCCAGCGTCCCGGAGACATCCATCTGGGACGTCCTCGGCGATTCCTTTGGCTTTTCTTTTCTCATCCCCATCTGTTCGCTTGGCTTCACTGGGCTCTGTGTGTGCGCGGAATGGAGTCAGCTTGTTGGAAGTGGCGATGGCGTTCATGGGGAAGGGCCTGTCATTTTGAGCTTCAGGTGAATAGGCCCGAAATATTTTTCTTCTTCTTTTTGTCGTTTCCGATCTGTCACTGTCAGAAACGCGTGTCCCCTTGAATTGGGAGAAAAGAAATGTCCTTTGGGTAGTTTTGCACCTGAGTTCCAGTTGACCTTGTTGTTTCTTTGTCACTTTTGTCCTGCGTTTGGTCTGTGGCAAAAAACAAACTCGAGCTTGTAGTGAAACTGTTCTGTCCAGTGCTGGTGTGGCCTGCTGTATCTTTGAGAATCTGTGCATTAGCTTAAATTGAAATGTTTTATGCTTATTTTCAGTTTGTGTATAAAAGTACAGTGACACATGGCATCACCTCATTGCCGGTTGCCGTGGAGACCACCGTGTAAAATGGCGCTTTGAAAGTTCACTGTGGCCTCCCCTGTCCGAGACGATTGGATACCCCAAACTGTTTTGTCTTGCCTTTAGAGGATCGTTCTGCAGTTTATTCATAGGGGTCACCGTTTGGGACAATTTATGACTGCTACTTAGGATTACCAATAACTTGGTAATTTTGGAGCCTTGGGTTTTGGGAGGAACTGAATAAATGTCACAAGCCTTAGGCTAATTCCCTGACGGGAGGGAGTCTGTGTTTCTGTCCTGGAAGAGCTTAGCAGAACCTGCTAAGGAAACAAGTGGACTTGTCTGGTCTCGGTTCTCTTACAGGTAAAGAGGGTTTGTGTGTACTGGGCGGTACACACAATGAACAAGTCAAGGTCTCTTCCATGCTGCAAAGAGAAGAAACGCCACATTTTGGCTATGGAGCCTTCTTCAGGCGTCGGGTATTTCTTGCCTTCAGATATAAGAAAATTATTTTCAATTCCTGCAGCTTTCAGTAGCTCCAGGACCTCAGCTCCTGTGTGAGGGGTTTGAAATGTGCACGGCTTGAAACCTCGTAAAAATTAGCTCTTCTGAAAGCGCACTTTTACAGGTTAATCTGCTGTCGAACAATGTGCCTTGGATACAAGAACGCCAATGATCTTATTCACTGTAACATCTGATTCGGATGTTCCGTGTAGCCTTGCTGGGTGTGAGCTTCACAAATGCAGCTTCTGAAAATAATTGTCGCGTAGGGGAGGGGACAAAACTGCGTTTCTGAGTCTCTGGCGAGACTGGAATAAACTAGAACGACCGTAACAACAGCGAACCTCATCCAAGGCACGCGGGCCAGGTCGTTGCATCGCTAGATTCGGAGCTCTCGATCTGTCAACACGGGACTGGAAATACATATTTTTGAAATATTCAGGGTTGGTTGAAGAAAAGCGTTGCCCTTCTGTTCTCAGCGTTGTGTTTTCTCCTCTGAGCCGGTGTGGTAAAGCCCATCAGATTTGTTGCCACTCCTTCTGGATTTGTGTAAATATGGCCTGCGCGAGTAGCGGATAAGATTACAAGTGTTTTCGCAGCCTGCCGCGGGCCTGCGGGCACGTGTGGTTTGGCGTGACGCTGTGTCCGGGGGACGGCCGGGTGTTGAGAAAGGGGGTGAACTGCTCTCTGTGGCATGCGGACACCCCGCTGCCAGTGCTCGTCAGGCCTCTGCCATCACATGCGTGTGCCTCAGACTGGGGCGCCGCTGTAGGGCTCTGCTTGGCACCTCCTGGAAGAGGGGAGCAGGTTCTGCTCCAGTAGAGCCGTGCGTGAATGAAGTATTTTGCTGATTATGCACCACAGTAGCCAGATGAGCATGTTCCCCCCCCCTCCCAGGGGGGGTGAGGTCGCAGCAGGACCTGGGCCCCTTGAGTCTCGGAGTCTCGGCGTTCACTTCTTCTTGGGGGGGGAGACAGCAAGGCCCTCCAAACGCACCGAAGGGCTGAGCCTGCAGTCCAGCGCCTGGCAGGGGCGGCCTCCTGTTGAGTTGGCTTTTGAGAGCGAAAGGGGGTTGTGTTTTGGGAGGCCATTTTAGAAAGCGCTGGCTCAGGCTCCTCCAGGGGAAGACTGCTGCTCCTTTGTGGGGGCAGCTGGGAGCAGACACAGCTGAGAGAGCACCTCTCAACACGGGAATCCACTTTCATTGGCGGGGCCCAGCGCCCAGGCTCTCTTCCCCTTTGAATTCTGGGCCAGCTCTCGGCCCGTTCCAGGCGCGGGTTGAAAGGGATGGCGCGCGCAGCGGGAGCAGCCGGGGACAGATGTCTGTGGCGGTGGCGTTCTCCTCCCCGTGCTCCTGCTGGTTAATCTCATCACTGTGGCATTAAGAATGTTTTCACTTCCATCTGGGGAAGAGCGCGGAAACGCCGTGCAGACTGTTGTAGCATGGCTGAGCTTCAGTATGGGGTGGCTTTTGTTTTCAGGATACTGACGGGCTTCGCTGGGCTGTGGCCGGTCGCGGCCGTACTGCATTGTGTGGCAGCTGTGTTCGCTGTGCACGGACACCTTACCGCGGTAGCTCTTTCAGCGTGTTCTTGAGCCCTGACGTTTTTTGTTGCCATGGCGTTTATCCTAAATCTGGAAATTGGACGCACTTTTTTTTTTCTTTTGTATGCAAGTGTTTTTTTTTTTTTTTTGCAGGCTTTTGCTGCAGCCCTCTGCCTGTCTGTTTCTGTGCTGTGCTGTGGAGGTCAAGCTGAAAAAAACATTGAAGGGGCTGAGGGGCTTTCGGAGAAGAGATTTGTTGTAGCAGCAACATGTTGGGTCTCTGAGCAAAGGAGGAGGATCAGTGTGATTTTTGTTATATAGGCTAAAATCGCAATTGGGCTTTTCCATCCGAGTTGTTCCTACATAATTCGCATCTTGGAATTGAATCAAGTGTAGACTGGGTGAGTTTGGCCTGGCGGCTCATAGTGCTGTCCTTAACACCTGAAACGGAGTGGAGCACATTGTTTTGGAAGAGCTTTACAAAGAGCGGAGTAAAAAGTTGATCGAAATGTGGAGTTTCATTCTTGGATTCAAAAAGATCACATCACACCAGAAATGTGAGGCCTTGTTTAGAACAGGGTGTCCAGAGTTGGTCACCTCGGTTTATAAAATATTGCTGCTCTGGAATCGGTTGAGAGAAGAGAAACCAGACGCACTGCAGGGTTTAAAGGAGTGTCCTGCATTGACCGGCTGAAGGACTGAACCTTTTTTTGGGTTTGATCAGAAGATTACAAGGCCACCTGGTACAAGTATTGAGAATTCTTAAGGACATTGCCAAAGTCAACCCAGAGGGCGTCTTCTGCGCCCAGAGGGTTGTGGGAGGGGAACACTCTGGCCGGTTGAAGAAATGCCTGGTTCAGGTCCTTGGCCTCAGTGAACTTCTCGCTGCCAAAACAACGTGCTCCGTTTATCAGGGGAGCAATGCTTCTGTACCATCAGTGTCTCTCAATATCTTAAGTAGTTCACCACGGTTTCTAATTTGGCCGGTTGTTACACCCAGAACTAGTCCCTCAATAACAGGCTACTCGTCTGGGAGCCTCGCGACCCCTCGCCAAGCTCGGCGGTGGTTCGGGCGACGTGCCTGGTCGGAGCAGAACGTCACTGATGGCAACCCCGAATGAAGGGTGCGACATTAACATAGTCCCGGCACTTGTTGCCATCGCTGCCGGCCTCCCCTGACGTTTCTAGCATGCCTTGTTGCACAAGCCGGCTGTATGGCAGCGCGTGTCTGTGCCGCTGGGTGTGACCCTTGTGCTCAAGTACGGGTGCCGTCCAGGAGGCCCACTGAGCAGCCGAGGGGTGAGCTGGGACAGGTGGGCGGGCGCGCGGGCGAGGACGGGGCCAGAGCCGGTGCCGAACAGCAGTCCACAGTGGGAATTTAAAACTTGACTTTCACAGCAGGCCCTGCCTGACCAATGTTAATCCGCGGAATGAATTTACACGTCACGTCCATTCAATAACGAGTAACTGCTACATTTAGAATGGTAATTGTTCTGATAACTTGGTGAATTTTTTAACGCTGTTTTTGATGTAACTGGGGGACCTTCAGTGTTGGATGGGTTGCGCGTAACGTGGAGAGGTTTATCTTATTTCTCTGTGTTCAGTCTAGTTATTTTAAAGTAGTTGTGAATTTCACTACTCAGAAAAAGATGGTGCACTCCAGGTACTCCCCAGAGCTCAGCCTTTACGAACCAACATGAACTTAACCTTTAACCTTTAGAGGTTCAGCTTGCAGTTTATATCACCTTCAGTATCAAATCATGTTGTTCCTGTAAGGCGTTTCCAAGATTGAACTCCACTAAGAGCTGAGGTTGAGACCCCCTGGTCTAAAAAATTGTTTTGATCGATTTCTGTTCTGTGGTGATTTCAGCCTGCAGCACAACTCTGCCCTTTTCCTCAAAGTAGCTGCTTGTGTATTTAAAATAACTTTCTGGAACATGAATCTGTATTTTCTTTATGTATAAAAACAGATTTTAATCCTAATGCCATTACCAGCTTGTGGCCAGATCGTGGAAGCTACGCAGTGCACTGGCTGTGAGAGCACATCGTGTTGCTGGTGTAAGTGGTGGAGCTGCTGTTTGCCTCTAGAACGGACGTCCCAGAGCTGTGCCCCAGTATGAAGACCAGGAGGGTACGCCGTCATGTAGGAGGTGCTTTCCGACGGGTTGTTCAGCCCAGGCCCCGTCCTGTTGCTTGTTTTAAGATCGCTTGTTCAAGAGCAATACTGTATTGCCATAACTACTTGTATGGAATTTGGATCAGTGAGCTCATACAGTACAAATATACAACATGGAGCCAATAACGGAAAGTGTCCACCCAGCACATTCACAAACCATCCTAAAAACACACCAGTAATAACAAAGAGCACTGCAATAAGTAATAGTGGGGCCTGATTTTGTAACACTGAGCCGTGCAAAAGCTTTAAAGTGCCCAGTTCTTGCAGCACGCAGCCTCTGGGAAGGTGCTGTTATGAAACCTGGTAGCTCTTGTCTTGACGGACCTAACCTGCCTATCAGAAAGGAGAGAGAGAGTTGGGGCAGGGTGGGAGAGGTGGGTGACCATCTTCAGAGATGTGCATTTCAGTTCCTTCTTAACTCAAATAGTCGAGTGAGTTCCCTCCCTGGTCTTGGAGCTCAGTGAGGCTGCTGGTGCAGAATGGCCGCTGCCCGTTCCTCAGGGTGTGAGTACCTCTGTGGCATGTGATGGGACACGTCACCCGGGCAAGACAACTTGGGATCCCTTGTGATAAAAAGCGTGGTACTTAAATACAAGGAATTAATATCCTTTCCTCATGAATCTGAAATCAAGTTTGTTTGTCATATGTACCTTGAAATACTCACTTGCGTGTTTCCTCACATGACAAATGATGTAACGGATGACATAATATTGAGATAGAACAGGACAAAACAAACGACATTGCAATTCTTGGAGACAGTAATGGGGTAGCAGCTATAAATTTAACAAGCATTTAGGTAGAAGCTGAAAAATGCAGAAGTGGCAGTATTTTGAGTTCAGAGGGTTGTACGCGAGGGTGGGAGGTCTGGGCCTTGTACTCAGTCCTCTGCCAGGAGGAAGCGGAGAGAAAAGTGCATTCCCTGCGTGGTGGTGATTCTTGATCCTATCGTCCGCTGCTCTGAGGCAGCGCGTGGTGAGGACGGTCTGGATGGATGGGGGGTCTGTACTAGTGAGTGGGGGGGGGGCGTGCCGGCAATCGAAGCTCTATGGCTAAACCTGTCATCTCCCTGTTCTCCTTTCCGCTGCAGTTGAATGAGATTGGAAACAGCTGGACTGAATGGATTTGAATGCCAAGGGCAGCTCTCTGCCGTTGATGCCCGAGCACCTGAGCCCTGTCAGCATGAAGCAGGCTCCCGAGGCGCTGAGCAGCCGCAAGAGCCAGGCGGCCGGCGTGGAGATGAGCGCCGACCCGGCCATCCTCATGGACAAGGCCGCCGCCGCCCAGCTGGTCGCCACCCTGCAGGACACGGTCATCCAGATCAGCGGCGAGCGGCTGAAGGACCTGACCTCCCGCGTGCTGAACGGCGACCAGGACAAGCTGCCCAAGCTGTGCGCCGCGGAGCCGCCGCCCCTCCTGAAGGGCGGGGACCCCCCCACGCCGCACGCCAGCCCCCCGAAGAAGGGCGACTCCCCCGAGATCAAGCTCAAGATCACCAAGACGGTGGCCAACGGCAAGCCCCGGTTCGAGTCCTGCTTCTGCGAGGACGGGGAGGTGCCGGCCGCCGCCGCCGCCCCTGCAGCCCAGAAGAGGAAGGAGAGGGAGAACAAGGGGAGGAAGAGGAGGAGAAGGCTCGTCAGGGCTGAGCCGAGGCGGCGCCCCCTCCTGGCGCCGGCGGCGTCATCACCGGCAAGTGTGGCTTCAGGCAGCGGCGCGGGGACAGCGTGCAAGGTTGGGCATTCGAGCTTCTCCACCCCCCCTCTCGCCTCGTCCTCGGTAGGTACTTCCTGACATCCCAGCAGCCCCCGGCAGCTCTTGGTGGTTTGTGTTGTCGTTGGCGTTTTTTAACATTACACTGGATTCCCTTTGCCTAAATCGGAGAAGGGGGTTGGCCAGAGGGCTCTCATAGATGGTAATTCAATCCGGTTTCTTCCTGCTGGCCTAGAATTCAATACGTGTGGCAAAGCGAAGTGGACGTTCTGCTAAGAGCTCCAAAACCTCCTCTGTAGAAGCCCTGAAAAATTGACGAGACATTGATTATGGCTTTTGTTTCTTGAACAGCTGTTGTATCGTGGTTATGGGTAGTGGGTTATTCCAGGGGAAAAGGGTATTATGTGGATAGTTGAGAAAGAAAGTAAAGAGCAGAAGGTTGTAGGGTGTGGGGGACCACCTTCAAACCTTACTGTATAGCTTGTGTGTTAGTTGAAGGGAAGATGTGGTGACGCAGTATTGATTGTGCTTCTGCTTTTTGCTGGGTATGTGTGACTCCATACTGCAGTGGTGTCCAGTCCTGCTCCTGGAGGTCTGTGTGTCTGCAGGCTTCCACAGTCCGCCGCATCTGAAAACCTGGCTTAACTGGATCAGCACGTTGAGCTTAGCTTGTGTACGGCCTGCGCTGGAGTGCAAACCTGCGGGAACACCAGCCTTTCTAGACCAGGATTGGACACGACATCTGCAGAAGAGCGGGACTGAGGTCAAACTTTGGCGACTGCTGCCAGCAGTGATTCGTTTTGGAATGGAATTGCCAGCAGTCTGTCTTCCAGATTTACAATACCGTGATGGATTTCGATTTTATTTGCTGATGTCTCCCAGTCCTGAGCTGGTTCTCGGCGGTACTGCGCAAATGTCTGTGCTGAAGGTGAGGCAGAGCCTTTGTCAGCCTGAAGCAGTGCTCTGTCTGAGGTTGAAAGCGGCCTTTGAGCACGCTCTCCCTCCTAGTCCCAGCACCCAGAGTGCACTCCCAGGATGTGCGTCTCTTGGCACACTACACTGTGCGATACCGTTTCTTGTTAAAATGTGTAACCCCACTCGATTTAGAATCCCTAGTTATTTTGTACGCCTCCGTTCGAGGCTACACGCAAGCCATGTTCCCGAGGGGAGAGTGGGGTGGTGCCGGCAGACCTCTCCACCCCTGGAGCCACTGGCCTTGTACCATACCGCAGGCCGGTCAGTGCTGCTGGCAAGAAAGTGCCGTTCCGCGCCGACAGTGTCTCGAACCTGCGAGGACCCGTTTATTTGTCCCATTAGTCCTTGGATCTGAAAACGCCCTGCTTCCAGCATACTGTTTTGGGTGTCCTTGCTCACTTGCCTGAATGACTATTGCTAGGCGGTCGTTTCCTGATGAACCGACACGGAGAGGAATGAGTGTGTCAGAAAGAGATTTTCCATCCGCAGAGGTGCTGTTGCTTGCCTTTCAGCTCACCCGCCTGGCTCAGGGTTCTTCTGAAACCAAGACCTTTCTCGAGCTTGGTCCCAGCTTCGCGGCTGATTCAAAGCGATGGGCCTGTGATTAAGATCTCCACTGAAACAAAACCAGGAAGCTCAAGCTCATCTGGACACGTCTGGGGGAGAGCGGTTATAACAGGGCTCCTTGGCGCAGGTGGATGGGAGTCAGTGATTTTGTTTCTGCTCTGTTCCGTATGTCTGACACGGTTTGGATTTGTAGTATTGAAATATATCGTCTAGTGAGCGATTATCACATGGGTCCATCTGGTCAAAAAAAAACAGGTTTGAGGATTTCCGAGTTGAATTAAATTTGGTTGTACAGGTGGTTCAGAGTGGTTTACAGTGCATCTCTAGACATATAGACCCTCAGCTTTCTCTAGACATGTAGGCCCTCAGCTTTTATGGAACCCCCATGGAACCTTCTAACTTAACCCCAAGTGCCGTGACCCCCTCGCCTGAGCCACGTGTGCAGAGCACTGCAGCCGAGGCACAGATGAGACACCAGAGGTTTCCTGTTGCAGGAGCGCCGATGGGACCTCTGAGGGCTGACCAGCTGTTCCCCTCTCCTGTGGAGTATTTTAAAGTGAAGAATTAGACTGCTTTTTTTTCTCTTCTGCACCCTCAGTGCTTTGTAGCCGATGAGAATGGCGGTGTTCATGAGATTTTTGTATCTCGTGAGCTGCTGCCGGCTGATGGATAAGTTGGTATGGTTTGTCAGTTTGCTTCCAAATGCACAGCTACATATTAATGAGGAAAAGCGTTCAGCACACGGGTCTGGGGCCTGTGAGCAGTGCTGTAATTCACACGAGGCACTGCGGTTCTGGTTGGGTGCGTTTCCGAATCTCTCTTCCCTCCCATGTTCTGGGTCGATACCCGGTTCTGTGGGTGACCCGTGATTCTTGACTCCTCACAGCTCTGTGAACAGTTTTTGCCCTAAGGTCAGTGCCCACTCTACAGCATGCACTTGAGGGACTGTTGGTGTAGGCACTTATATGCCTTTGTTATTCGAAATCAGGGGGTAAAAAATGTATTGCCGGTTCTAAATTTAAAAACCGTTCCGTGGGCAGTCTGCGTGAAGGACAATAACTCTGTGATTCGTTATTAGAGTAACACCTTCCGAAGAGAGAGTCTTATGGGATTGTAAGTTTTAGGAGCCTTTCAGCTGCGAGAGGTTTAATTTCTGACTCGCTTTTGTAGTGAAAATTTTGAAGTCTAAGTGGAAACGCCCACGTTTGTCCTCACACTTGACAGAATTTTAGAAGTGCTTTGCCTGTAGAAATGTGTTCTGAGTTCTCCTGCCAAAGAGACGAGTAATATATGAACATCCATTTTCTGTAAACGGACCACAGACGTTGAAAAGAAATCTTGTTCTTAAATATATTTTGGAGGCGCTCATCCTAGTCCTGGCCTTTTCTTTCTGGACGTCTGGGTTTTGGCCTTGTTTTATTTTTTAGTGAGTTGCCGTGTGGTGTTGCAGAGTGGAAACTCAACTGTCTTGTCAAGCCCAGCTGTCAAACTTCCGTTTAAAGCGCGTCAGCCCGAGGCTTTTACCAGCAGTAACTCCTGTTAAGAAAAAAACTTGTTTTCTGGCCAGGTGATCATTCAGCCTCTTATCAACAGGGAGCAGCTGTGGTTGCTTTCTGCTGCTAGAAAATCAAACATTCACTGAGCCTGGGAGGGAAGAAATCTGTTTTCTCCTTTGCGTTTCTAACTTATTTCCATGTTGAAGTTTTTGCGTCTTATAAACTATGTCGGGGTGAATTGTCTTTTAGTAATATTTTTCCTGCCTGTAAAAACATCTGCATAAGAAGAAATGTCATTCTAGTTCTTGTGGAGTCCTCTGCCTTTCGCAACTGCTGAGCACAGTGGTATCCAGGAAGCTCAGTTACAGCCCTGCTGACTGTGAATTGCAATCGCTTGTGTCGTCTGTGTACGACTGCATGCAAGCTTCTGTCTGCCTCGGGCCTCGAGTATCGGGAGTAGAGGTGTGAAGGCTCAGGCGCTGGAGGGTAACCTGACTCTTCTCGACTGCTTGCCATTATTGGGAATAATTTGACTCCCATTATCACCTCCATTCTCACAGATGCTGGACAGCCCCTTACCGAGCAGCAGTGCGCTATTGGCACCAACTGAGAAACATTTCCACTTTGTCTGCAGTCTCAATGTTACGTTGACCTCCCGTTTAAGACTTCACTAATAGCACTGTTCCTCTGTTAGCTGTTCCCTGGCTGTCGAAGTTGGAGGGGTGGGGGTTGCTGTTTTTGAGCACGTGTGTTCTCCTGAGAGTCTCGCCCTGCCGTGACAGGGGGAGAGGAGCAATCCCGACAACAGCTGAGGCTCTTAAGTGCCCTGCGTTCCCGGGGGTCAGCGTTCTGCAGAAAGCCATGGTCGCCCCCTGCCAGCTCTCACACGCCCAGCGGGTGATCACGGATCGGTGAGACTTTGTGGAAATCCGCCTGGCCGAGTGCAGCCTTACGGTCCGTCACTCGGAGACCCCACACTGTATCCAGGCCTCTATTCTCCCAAGTGCAAGGACCCACGAGGGCTGCGGAGTGCCGTGCGGCGCTCGGAGCTGACAGCTCCGTCGGACCGCCACCGGGGCTGCGCTTCCGAGGCCGGAAACGAGGAACTGTGAAGAATCTGGGAATCTGATCCCCACGTCTTGCAAGAGAGAACACGGCTGCCCTCGACCCTTTTGTCCCGACCAGCGGAGGACAGATTGGAAATGTGGATTTTTGCCGTTCGATCTCTTTTCTTTCAGCAGTCCAGGAAGGTGTGGCAGCTGTTGCGTACGTTCGGAGCTCTTGTACGTGTTTGCGCTTTTTTTGTGTCTGCGTGTGTGACGCTTGCCTTGCGCGGTTGTGGATGCAGTTGATCTGTTTTCGCCCAGGGCGTCGAACTGGGCGTGATGGCACTGTTCTGCTTCTAGACCTCCCTTGGCCTGGACACGGAGGGGCAGGTGGCACTTCAAGCTGTGTGGGTAATGAAGACATGATATTGAAAATCGTGTTTGTGCTTCAGATGGATGGTAGCCTTTGTTGGCAAAGTACAGCCAAACATGTTTGTAAATTTGACAGATTTCTCGGCCTAAGTGGTGTTTCTTTTATTAAATTTTTGTTTATCAAAACATCAGGAACTCTGCTCCTCTGTGAAAACCCATTTTACCTAGTGTGACGTTGCCACAAATCCACTTGATCTGCTCTTGTCTGCACTTTTACACGTGCAGGTCCTCTGCTGCTTCGTCTGGTGCAGAAATAGCTGCACGCTGTTGGGGTGATCCGAACGTTTTCTTCAGAATGTGCTGGAGTCGTTCGATCTAGGTCATTGAGGTGGCACGGCAGGTCCCTCTTGTTCTCCCTGGCCCAAGTGCAAGTCTTTTACAGTAGAAAACATTGCACTCGAGATGAAAGCCGAGGTGAAAATGCTCATTGATTTCCTGTGAAGCAGTGCTTCTTGCTGGGGAGCCCAGTGAGTTGCAGTCTGTATGGAAACCAGGCTCTGGTGCTCGTGTGGGAAGTGGACGATTGCTGCACCACACTGGCATTCAGGTTCTTAATGGCCCAGATGGCCGAGTCTTTGTCCTTTTCTTATCTGCTCATTAACATAACAAGTGAAGGTGGTAGGGGTTCGGTTGACCCTTGTCTTACAATGAGCACGTTGTATAGGGCACAGTAAATGGTGCATGCCGTACGGCACATTTCTTTATACCCCGAGTCTTTTCTTTTTTCTGTCTTAAGATCCTCTGACAGCAGCAGAGTAATTGTGGGTCTTTGCCCTGTTAAAGGTAGCCTAGTGTTTTGGAGCGAGTTGACGTCTTAGCAGTTAAAAACTTGGGGATCAAGGCTGACCTGTGACATTCCTGTATGTTGTGTGTACCTGCTGTAGATGCCAGACTTCTCAATGGGGAATGGGGAAATCATGTGCGTTTAGTTGTCCGAGCTGTGCTAGATGTAATCGAGCCATGGAGGTAACGGAGCTGTGTGGAGGAGCAGCCAGGCCTCTGGACACCGAGCTGTGGGGTTATGGGTTCAAATCCCAGCTTGGGATGCTGCTGATTTACCCATGAGCAAGGTACCTCACTTCAGTTGCACCAGTAAATGTCCAAGAGACACACAGACAGGGAGAGAAGCTTGGGGTCAGAGCGTAGGGTCGGCCATTTATACAGAGCAACTGGGGTGAAGGGCCTTGCTCAGGGGCCCAACGGAGTAGGATTCCTCTGCCGGCCGTGGGATTTGAGCCGGCAACCTTCCAGCCACAGGCGCAGGTCCTTAGCCTAAGTGCCACCGTTCCTCTGTAATCTGACAGCTTGTGGGAAGAAACAGTCTCCGAACCTGGACGTACGTGCCTTTAAGTGGAGAACATGCAGATCCCTCACAAAAGGTTGAATTATACCAGAGTTTAATTACGCCAACCCCAGAGGTGTGTGGCAACCTCACGTGCTGCAGCGCCGCTGTGCCGCCCCTCACAGTAAGTCACCCTGCTGGGGCACTGGACCTTTGGACGTGCTGGCATGGTGGGAAGAGCCCCACCAAGGCTGACCCACATCCTCAGAAAGGGTAGCTGCTGGCAGTGAAGTCTTCTGTCCCCGTGTTGACATCTGAGGTCAGATGTGATAGCGAACTGTGTGGAAAATGAATATGTTGCATCGGGGCCATCTAAATGTTTGTATTTCATCTGAAGCCGAAAGCTTTTGCAGGTAAGAAAGATCGTAGCTGTGACTTCTTGCTACGTCTTATTAAAACCTGTCAGTTGTAGTTGTGCTGGATGGAAGAGGTGGGAATAAAATGATTTGTGCAAACCCATCTTTGGTAGCTGGATCTCATTCAGAACCTTTTGCTCTTAACGGGTCTCCACAGCTCTGGAGTTCGAGCGGGTTCGAGCCAGGCTGGTGCGATGCCAGTCTGGTAGATGGAACCTGGCCCCGTTTCCCATCTTCGGGTTCCTGTGCTCCAGTGACCTCATTCTTCCCTGCCTGTGGTGGAGGAAAACCACCAATCTTATCGTCAAGGAAAGGGTAACCACAGCAACACCCTTCAACCGCTGCCATGGGAGACAGCGGAACACACCGTTTCCCTCCTTGTTTATACTCTCCAGGCCTGGCCCTGATTTCCATTCGTGGTTTTCGTTTGATTTAAAACATGAGTTGCACATGAATTGACTTTAAAACCGTTTGTTTGAGAAGGCCTGATTGCTTGCACCGAATTTAAAGGAAATGTCGCAGACCATCGAATGCAGTTCCTCGACTGCTGTAGTGGGAATCGTAAAGCGTTTTGTTTAATGACACTGTATATCGTAAATGTACGTGTCGGTGTAAGCTAGTCTGGGGAAAGTAGTTTAAGATGTGATTAATGTCAGCTGTTACAACGTCCGACAAGACACAGAATCAGTCTATTGCATGCAGCGTATTGCCCATTATAGTTCTGATTCCAGTGAAATTCTTGAAAATGGACTTATATGACATCCCTGCTTTTTAAAAGGGCGTGGACCCAAGTCTTTGCCTGGACCATTGCCGTTTGTGTTTCGGCACAACGAAGTGCTCAAGTAACACGGGGGCGCCCGCTGTAGTCTCGATCTCGGCCGACTGGGGTCGCGTCTGCGGATCGTTCCCTGGCTTGCTTTGTGGTCGAGCTGTGTGCACAGGAGTCGGTAATGTGGTGATTTGGGGAGTCCTACCCCTGCTCCCACCTCTTCCCCGGTACGCTCTGCAGGTGCAGGAGGCCCCGGGGAAAAGGGGGTCTCAAACGGAGTAGTCCGTAACCCCCCGCCTCTTCCTTTGTGATCGGTGCAGCTGTACGCAGGCGCGGGAATTGCGAACAAGCTCCGCGCCCTCTTCCATGAGTGTGGTTCTCCCCGAGCCGTGTTCAGCAAAAAGTGCTTCAGTGTTTTCAGAGCAGAACCAGCGACGAGTTTTAAGCAATCGGTTTCGTTTGCCGGCGTTTGTCGTGTACAGGAGAGAAGCCTTCCAGTGCTGTGGTCCTGCTTCAGATACAGCTCAGGGGCTGGCACCTCTGTGGGCATCTCGCCCGAGGGCACCGGGCAGCCTGCGACAGTACGTGATGCCTGCGCCCCGTCTCTCGGCAGGTGTCTCCAGTGCAGGAGCCCCTGAAAGACAGCGAGGGGGAGCTGCCGGGGAAGTTCTCCGTGGGCGACGTCGTCTGGACCAAGGTGTCGGGGTACCCCTGGTGGCCCTGCATGGTAACCAAAGACCAAGCTCTCAGCAGCCACATCAAACTGAAAGGTATGTGGGGCACAGCGCAAGGAGAGCAGTGCATGTAGACTGAAGATCCTGTGTTAATACACACCTGTGGCACGGAAGAATGACAGTTTCTCAGTCTTCTCTTTCACACAGTACACGTACATAAATCTGAAACATTTACAGCACTCCGCCCCATTCCCTAATGACACACACTTCAGTGGCCAGAACACATTATCAGGCTTCTAAACACTCATGTCGGTGTTAAATCCGTTTTGCCTTGCATCCTGACAGGAGCAGGTGACAATGAAACATTGTTTTTTCAATTCTGTCAAAGCGGAAAACTCGCATACAGGCAGTCCCCACATCATGGCTTCCGTCTAGGGTGTATACACTGAACGCGCCGCATGACGCTTCGGTTAATCCGCAAAATGCATAAATATATCTAAACAATTCAGCTTGATTTAACTTTTAAAAATGTCCGTCTTGTGAGAATAATGTCCGAAGGCGTGCCTCTGTTCTGCAGCGCACCAGTGGAGAAATGGTGGTCTGAGCTGCAGAGAGACCTCATCAGGATCTCGTTTGTTCGAATGGTATCGGGGCTTTTTTTTTTTTAAGCGGGGGAGTGTTTTAATTCGTGCCTGGCCTGTGTCTTAAGCACGCTCCTGTTTAGGCAGCCTAGCCTTCCGGGCCGGTGACCGCCTCTCTCTCCCCCCAGCAGTGAACAGCCGGACGAGCGTGCAGTACCACGTGCAGTTCTTCGGGAATGCCCCCGAGCACGGCTACATCTTCGAGAAGAGCATCGTGCCCTTCGGCGGGGAGCAGCAGTACAGGGAGCTCTGCCAGGAGAGCGCCAGGCCGTGCGCGGCCCGCAGCGACAAGAAGAAGGTACCCCGCCCCGACTCGCCGCCCGCGGGGGTCCCCCTCTGATTGACCGCGCTGCTGGGGCTGCTTCAGGCAGCCCGGGCTGGGAACCGCCGGGGGATCGATGGCTTGGCATGTGCACAGCCTGTTCTCCAGGGCTCTCCGGTCCTGTTCTCCCTTGCGGGGTCGAGATCTGGAGCTGTTCCAGCGGGAATCGCGGAAGTGAGCCCCTGAGGAGGCTGGGTGTGGACATACGGTATATTAGTGTGGCAGAACAGCACCTCCCCCAGCCAGGAGGAGCGCCAGTAGGCGAGCGCGGTGCAGCGCCCGTCTTCTCAGCGATGTTCCTTTTCTCCTTCGCAGCTGCCCAAGTCGGTGCCGGCCAAGCTGCGGGCCCAGTGGGAAATTGGGATCACGCAGGCGAAGGAGGCGGCTGGCATGGAGACAAGAGAGCGCCTGGCCAAGTTCACCTTCGCCTACGTCAACGGCCGGCCGCAGCTCAGCCCCCGCGTGCTCGGCGAGCTGGGCCTGGAGGAGCGGGACCCCGCCGCGCTGCCCCGGGCCTGCCAGGAGTCCGCCGCCCTGCCCCCAGAGCCCCCTGGCCCCCCCGCCGCCCCGCACAGACGCAGCACCTCATGGACTAAGAGGACGCCCACGATAAAGGCTCCTGGCAGGATCAGGGCGGGCAAGGGGCGCCAGTGGCCGCTGAAGAAAAGGAAAGAGGTCTCGACGGTTTCCAAGCAGAAGGAAGACCAGGCGCAGCCGGACGACCAGGTCCGTGAAACTCCCCGTTTGTGCGCCGGGAGACCGTTGTCGCTGTGAAGTCTCGTTCCTTTCACGGCTCGGGACCAAATCTCTACTCCAGTGTCTATTAAAATGCGGCACTTCGTCTTCCTTTCTTGTAAAGTGGGGAGTACTGAAGATCCAGCAGATCTTCAGTAATCTAGTCTGTATCTTCCACTGGCTAAAGGAACCTTGCGCCTTTCTTTGTAGGGTTGAAGAGTTCAGTCTTGTCACTATTAATTTTAAACTGATTTGACTTGAGTTGTATTGTCAAAACAGCATCAGATGTATGATGGATTTATCGATTTAAGTTTTTCAAAAACTTTTAATTAGGTTTGGTAGTGCTGGGTTTTGATCTTGGTTCTTCCGGTATTCGGTATGCATGGCTGCAGGAAGATCGTCCTTCCTGAGGTGGCCTGGCATCAGTGTAATTCTTCCTGCTCAAGAAAAACTGCTTCCTTGCTTCTTAAGCCTGGTCTCGAGCTTCAGTCTTGCATAGTGTGTCCTTGTGGGTTGAGACTTGATCGTGTCTCTGGCTCCTCCATTCTGACAAACTCATTACCACTCCAGAATTAAGGGCTCGTCACCATACTTTCCAGTTTCGATGTCTGGGAGGAATGCATGTCAAGTCTTTAAAGTCTCTTTGATTTCATTGCAGTAAAGGCCAGAAGCCAAGGCTTTGTTCTTGTGCAGGCGAGTAGATCCTGAATACAGTCAATTATCAGACAGATCAGCTTTGCGACTTAAACCTTCCAAGAAATATGAGATTTGAACAAAGAGAAAGAACATGCCCAGCATATAGCTATGTTCATCTTCAAGGATACCAAAGTGCTTGTAAGTGTAAGACAATATATTAGCACATAAATGGCTGTAATGAACATTGTGTAATGTGCAGGTAAATGATTTTCATTCTCTTCCCCCTCAACGACAGCCAGTTGGTAGGAAAGTTCAAATATTTTTTCAGTTAAATCTGGCTTCAGGTTAGCCTGTCCCATTGTAGAATGCTCTAGTGTTTGGGGTACATGAAGCATGCCTTTTGAAGAATCTCTAATTTTTTGCTGTGTGGAAAAAATCCCTGATACCAATATATATTTTACCTCTTGTATATGTCGAAATATTTGATGTACTAAAGTTTTGGGGATTTTCTAACCCTGAAAAGCATGAACACCCGAGCGCACAGATAGCGTTTAAAAACTCAAGACTGGGAGTGTCATAGTCAGAAGCACTGAAGAAGTGGTGACCTTAAGACCTTTTGGCTTCAAGAGTTTGCTTTTAAAGCTTTTTTCAGCTTTTCTCTGAAAGCTGAAAAGAGGAGAGCAATTTTCTTGTCTTTTTTTCCATTTCCAGGCTGTGGCAGAATCTCTGGACGTCTCGAAGGAGAATGGGAAAGATTCGCTTGCTCCCAAGCTGAAGGGGAGGAGAGGCCGAAGGAGGCTCCATCCTCGCCCGGCTGTGAAGAAGGCCCAGTTGGAGGACGCCTTTGTGGAGGTCTCCCTGAGCGAGTCCTCGGCTCCGCTGGGCCCAGGTGGGGGGATTTGGCTACCGCGCTGATAAACGACAGGAAAAATTTCCTTTAGAGTGAGGGCCTCTACCTAGGGAAAGAATCGCATTTGTATTGTATTTTGTCCCGGAGAAAATGATAGAGTTGGAGTTTGAAATTTACTGGAATGTGCCAGTAAATTGCATAGGTTTTTTCTCGGTTATTGGGAATCAGTCAACAGAACGAACACTCTGCACATGGACTTAAAATACACAGGAATCATTAAGGCATCGTGTAGATAAAAAATCAAACTAAATACATGAAAGCTTGTCTGGATACAAATGATAGATCATCTGCTTGTGGGCTACCAAGATATAATGGTTTCAAGATTAAGAAGAGATACAAACAAGTTCATGTTAAGTGTTAAGTTCGTTCTCATAAAAATACTCGTAAGTGAGTACGGTCTTTGTCACTGAATCCGTCTGTCAAACGGGATAGCGGTTGAATTCTCAGATCGGGAACGTTGAATGTGAAAGTCCAAGCGGGCTGCTCCAGTGACCCAGTGGGCACACGGTGGCAGCTCGCTGGTTGCGAGGTCTTGCCGCAGGTTAGAATTCCCTTCCGTACGGGCTCTTTTCAAACTTGGCGCTTCAGACCCGAGTTCAAGTCCACAAAGTGACCATCGTCTCTGGGGTGCTGCTGTCAGTCGGCCAGCTGGGCTCAGGGGAGAGAAGCAATTTAGGAAAGATGTGTGCCGCTTTTTAACGGGGGAGAATACGGAATGTGATTGGCCTAGAGGTGATCAGGTGGCATGGGTCTCCATTCCCCACAGGTCGCTGATTGGTTGGTCATCTTATGGATGGTTAACCCCGGCCTGTGACTTGAAGGCTATTGCCCAGGTGTGCCTATGGCTCTCTGCCAGACATCCGGCATGGGGAAGCAGAACTGTCCCGGGTTGTCACTGTCCTGAGAGGTGCTGTTCTCAGAGAAACTCACCTTTGCTGCCTTCCAGCACACAAGGATCAGCAGGCTGTTCTGTGGAACGAGCAACACTTACTTCGGCGGTTTATAAATGAGCTCTGCTGCCCCACGGGTGAGAGCAGGTTTTGGAATCGCGGCTGGAAGCGATGGTGCTGGTTAGAAAAGGCATGTGAAGGGTAGCCATTACAGAGATCGCAGAGGGATCATGCATATCCAGCTGGGAGAGGGGCTTTCTCCAAGGGCAGGCTGGGCTCTGTGATCACGGGTTCGAGCTCTGGTCATTTCACTCGCTGTCTGTGCACCTGATTGGTGGTGGTGGTGGGGGGGGGTGGCAGAGGATGGAAGAGTCGGCCTGGACACACTCAGCTGCCAGCCATTGGTGGCCCCTACAGCCCCCCACCCGCTGTGGCCAGACACCCAGGAGGATGTGAGGCAGGAGCCTGTCCTCCAGGGGGCGTCGTGTCCAGCGCCCTGAGGAGCAGGCGGTCCTCAGAGTCCTGCTCACTCTTCCCCCCGTGGGCTCAGAGCCGTGCTGACCGCAGTTCCACGTTGGGTTGCCGCGTACAGGTGCAGGATCTCGACTCCGGCTCTCCACAGTTTGGGTACAGCTGAATAATGCGACCCTAATCTGTCGGTGTTGTGTTTGTCTGTGGAAGTCACCTCAGACCGCAGATGCACCCCTGGGTTGTTGGAGGAAACTTGTCAAATTACAAGAGTTAAAAAACAATGATAAATTTTGCCAATAAATGTGGGGTAGGCATCTCAACTAGGCATACACAGCATCGAGAAGCACTAGTAACACATTTCAATATTTTTGCCGATACAGGTTTCTTATTCTGTTATTGCTTTTATTTAACGTTTTTATTTTTTAATTAATAGGTTTCCCATAGAATCCAGCCCTGATATTTTGTAATGTCTTGGACAGAAGACCTCTTGTCTTCTGTCTCAGATCTGGACTTGGGTCCTGTGTGCCTTTGGGGAAGTATGAATTATAATTTAGAGGGTTCACAGGAAATTCCCATCACTGCAGAACGGTCTGTACTGTGATGTCTAAAATCACTAGAGGCCCTGTGGATAATCCGTCTCAGAAATTAAAGAGTTGGTCTGCAATATATACGATTTCAGCATCTGTTTCAATGGGAAAATACACTTACATGCTGTTTTTATAGATATTTTGTTAAGTGCAATAATTATTTTAATTTTACAGTCGCTAGACCTAGTCTTTAAACGAGGGAACTGTAATTAATGTAATTGTTCTGGGTCTTTCTTGCGTACATTTTACCTTTTGGTTTTTTATAGGCAGAAGAGTACGGAAAACAAAGCCTTGTGCACATCGGGAATTGAGGAAGAAGTCGGATCTCATAGGTGAGCTTGAGATGGATTTGAGACCGGCCTGTTCGATGGAGATGGAGCAATCTTCGAGTCCCTGCTGTTCCAGAGGGATCCTGGATGTCATGAGTGTCTAAATGAACATTGTAACTGCAGCAGATTGCTAGAAATCATTGCACAGTCAAGTGCATAGATACCCATTAAAGAGCTGGTCTTCGAATTGGGGGGAAAAAAAAACAATTATCAGCTTTTGTTTTGCTCAAGATGTTATCTAGTATTTCTCACATTTATAATATATTGTGCATCAAAAATGTTTTCTGTTTATTCATGGTTTTAGAAAAGTAGAATAATCTAGCATGATTTTGTGTGGGGGGGGGGGGCTTTATTTAGTCAGTTATGATAGTGATTCACTTGTTCTTGTGCATCTCAGGGTTGTGTATCCCTTCCGTTTCTGCTTCATTTCATTATTTGCGTATCTTGGTGTTTTTTTTTTTCAAGGAAGCCCAAAATCGACCCATCCAAAAAGGCTGGGAAAGAGACCACTGGACGACACTGAAGTGGACAAAGTGGAACAGCCCAGGAAGAGGGCCAGACTCAACAGCAGTACTCCACAGCGCAAGGTAGCAACTTAAAGAGGGGAAAACTCATGAAGAGGGGTTTTGTGACATGTTTCGGTATCCTCAGAGAAGCTTAGTCTGCCGATTTGGTGCATTTGAAGTCAGGTGCCATCATTGCTGTTGTGGCTGAAACGAACCAGGACTTGAACAATAACAATTAATGTTATTCATCACAAGTGAGTGTCATTTATGGCCTCGCGAGTTGGAAACATGATGGTTCACAGACTTCTTTACTCAACACTGCAGTAACAGATTTATTCTTGCTTGGACCTGGTGAAAAGTTAAACTCGTGGTCTTCAGCTATGGGTTGTGTCGACACATAGGGTGTTTCTGTAGCTCTTTCAACCGGCCCCTAGTGTTTTTTCTCACCCCTACCTGGAACCAGTGACAAAGAAGCGTGGATGTAATATGGAGGTGGTTTTGAGAAACCCCTCGTCTAAGAAGGAACTCTTCCAAGTGAAATTTGAGTTTTTTTATTTTATTTTGCTCCTCTGGGGGGAACTAGACGGAGTCCCGTTAGCTCAATGCTGTCAATTTAATCTGTTGTAATCTGTCATGTTAAAGGTGGCTTGTCGTGTTGGTTTTGTTATTTTGTTGCGCTGTTAACGGGGCTAATTCTTCTCTCTCTCCTTTCTCCCCTCCTGATTCCACAAAGACCCGCAAATCCAAATTGCTAGCGGAGACGACGGAACGGGCCGTGGAGAGCGCACCGGCTCCTCGGACAAGCCGCTGGGGTAGGGTTTGGCCACCCTGTCTGACGGCCTTCGAGAACCTTCTCTAGGTTTAGCTTTGCAGATCGCCTCCTCTCTTTCTCACGCCGGCGCAATCTTTCTGCTTTACTCGAAGACCTATCAGGACCCCACCTGTTAGTGCCGATGGTGGTAATGACCTTATCTTTAACCAGACGAGTCGGTTGTCAGCCGCTTCTTAACGGAAGAGTCCTGCGCCAGTGTTGCGCAGAAGACAAAGAAAAGAAGTTAAGAAAGTACTGGGATGCAGCTGTGTTGACAAGCGCCCAGAGGGAAAGATTCGATCCTCCAGCCGATAACCTCGCATACAAACGTAGTTTCAGGTCTCTCGTTGGGGAAACTCCAGTCATAGGCGGCAGTCTGTTGACGGGACTTGTGACCGCAGTCTAGATCTCGATAAAGAGTGCGATCGTGATGTGTAGGAGGGTATTGAGATCTGCAGGCCAGGTGACTCCGAAGCCGTTGCCCCGGAGACGCATGTGCTCTTGACTAGGCCGAGCCGGGTGGTGTTGGGAGGCTCCAGGCTCTGTGCCCGGGGTTCCTTCTTCACGGGCCCGAGGAAGGTGCCTCCAACGCTGCCTCTCTCGCGCAGGAAGTAAACCACTGGAGCAGCGCCAGCCGGCGAAGAAGAGGAAGCGCGCCTCGGCCGGCCGGCCCTCCCTTTCCCCGGCGAGCAAGAGGCCCTCGCCCGCGGCGGCCCACACTGAGGTGAGGAGCAGGGGGATCGGAACCCGGGCGGCCGCCTGGACGGGGTGTACTTAAAGAAGGGAGGGGTCCCAAGGGTCCGCCGAAAGACTTCGACTGCCCCTGTTGGCGAACGCCCAGCTTCTGAATTTCTGCTTTAAATCTGAGATTGTTTGGTTATTGTGCTTTCACAGATGAAGAAGACGTTACACTGTTTTACACTTGCAGGTATCGGGCATTAGCAGACTTTGCTGAACATGTAGTGTGAGGTCAGGGCAGGGCCTGCCCTGTTTCAGCCAGTCCACTCGGACCTGAAACCCTCGTGACTTGTAAAGTAAGATGTGACTGGACACTAGGGGAAGCAGCGGGACTGCACAGCGCCAACAGCCCCGCGGCGGGTTGCTGACTGGTTTTTGTGCCCTCCCAGAGCTCCGGAGAGGAGCGGCCCGTGTCGCCCTGCGAGAGCACGGATGACGCGCCGCCCGGGACCTCCGCCTCCGTCAAGAGGGCGGAGCGCGGCAGCGCCGCCAAGAAGGACAACGTCTGCCAGGTGAGACACCGCCGCCTCCGCTCGCAGTCAGGAAGCCCGCTGATGGGGCAGCGCTGCTGTCCATTGGGAGTTATACAGCAGCTTCTGCTTGTGGCCCATGTCCTTTGGGCAGAAATGTAATGTCTATTTTCCGTCTCGTGACACCAAGGGGAGGGAGTGCCTTTTATACGTTATTTGTCGGCATGTGTTTGCCCCGTTGGGGGGAAAAAAAAAATATTTTTCTGACATGTGGCCCTATTACATTGTAAAGAAGCAGGCTTGTGAAAACATTTCTTTTAATCCAATATAAAGTACTACTACATTGGAACATTTCTGCATTGAAACTGCGGGACAACCTGTTTATTCTCTCGTACATCCCATCACGGCGACTAGAGAGCAGGAAGGGCCGCGTCGCGTTGCGGTTTACACACGCTCACCTTTGGCAAAGTGGCTGGAGTACTTTCACGAACTTCACGATTTTGTGCATTCAGAATTTGTCACATTTTGTGACCCCGTCAATTAAGTTTTGTCACCGAGATTTAATAACTGGTCTGAGAAATTGGGACTGCAGTTCCTCTTTAAATGCGTCACTGAATTTGAGCATGAATCCTTTAGCTATCCTCAATTGGGTGTGTTAACATGAAACGTGTTCCCCTCCACTCCTACTGCCTGCAGTTTGAGAATTGAAGGTTTACGAGGAACTTTCCTCAGCTGCCTTGTGAGAATGTAAGCGCCCCATGCGGTGCGCTGTGTCCGTCTCGGTTGTCGCCTGTTTAAAGACCCGCGGTCGTGCCGTCTGCCCTCAGGTGTGCGAGCTGCCGGGGGAGGCCCTGCTGCTGTGTGAGGGCCAGTGCTGTGGAGCGTTTCACCCCCGCTGTGTGGGGCTGAAAGAAAAGCCCCCGGGGAAGTTCCTGTGCCAGGAGTGCACCACCGGTAAGACCAGTGGCGGTTCCCTCGCGACCTGGCCCTCCCTCTCCACACCGAACACTAGACACCAGCCGCTGTGCGTGTGCGCGGTGGCGCTCTGCGTGGGCAGATGTCGCCCCAACCCAGTATGAAAAATGCACCGAGAGAGAGGTTCAGGGGGGCCCTGTCACGGTGCGTCAGTAACCTCGCACTTCAGGCGAGTGAGTGTGTTGCTCATTGTCCGAAGGCAAGATGGTGAAGGCTGAGGGAGGCCTTTCTCCCTCTGTTAAAGGAATACAGTGGATTTAAAGGTAAAGAATGGTAGGCAGTCCCATGCCACATGTATCTGCATACGTGCCCTGCAGAAAAACGTAAATTGGGCTGGAGGGGGAAATCGTGAGATCGGCGCGTCGGATGCGGAGGGCACTGCAGGCCGTGTGTCGGGGCCTTTGTGCTGCGGCGTATGTGAAGTACAGCGCCGTGGGTGGTGTCCGTGCAGCGCGGCCCCGCCCCTCAGCCCGTGTGCTTGCTCCCCCCCACCAGGTGTCCGCCCCTGCTTCTCCTGCAAGCAGGCGGCCGGGGAGCTGAAGCGCTGCGCGGTGCCGCAGTGCGGGAGGTTCTACCACGAGGCCTGCGTCCGCCAGAGCGCGCTGACCGTCTTCGAGAACAAGGGCTTCCGCTGCCCCCTGCACGTCTGCCTCAGCTGCCACGTCAGCCACCCCTCCAGGCTCAAGGCCAAGAAAGGTGAGAGCCGGCTGCGGGTTTCTCCATGGTCCACCTTCATCACCCTGTCTGGCAGGATATCCCCGCTGTTCAGTTTTATACCCCCAGGCCTTTAAATGTCCGAGACGTTTTAGACTTCCTGTTGCCACAAGATGGTGCTCTGGTACTTGCACTCCCTTTGTTTCCAAGAGCTCCTTATTAACCATCACCATTTCCAAGTAAGAATGCTCCACAAGAAAACCTGTACCAGCGTATTTAAGGTACGTTTTCGAGAACTTGCCAAGACATCTTCAAAATCGTCAGTACCAAGCATTTCCACACTTGATAATCAATTTGATTTTCTGTACTGCAGTTAAACATTGTAAGCTTCTTTCAGTGTATTAGAGCAATCCACGCCCATAAGAGACAATCATTTGTGTAAAAATGATGAATATGCTAGCTGTTTTTTAAGGGTGGGCTTTAGACATTAGTTCTATGGACCATATTAGTCTGCTTGTTTAGTTTTTACAGTATCAGAATCTGATTTATTGTGACTGACTGATAGATACTTTATTAATCCCATGAGGGAAATTGGCTGCAGTGCAGCAACAGCTTAACACAGTCAACACAGCACAGTGTAATGAAATGATATAATAATACAGCAATACAAACAATACAATCAGGCCGTCAGTGAGAAGGGCACTAAGAGGAGTTGCTCACATTCTAGAATATACACAGAACAAACCAGAACAGAACACAAAAGGTTGTATTGCACATTATAAATATAAATATAGTCCCTGGCATATATAGTACAAAACCTGTTGTAAACGGGAAATGCCAGATGTAGCAGAGTTTACTGTTTAGTCCAAAAACAGGTCACTGTCAATGTTGCCTCTGCCCAGACACACAGTAGATGAGTTGTGCAGTCTTATTGTAGAAGCCAAGTATGACCACCTGTAGCTGATGTGACTGATCTGTTATTGTATTCACACTTTGTATCCTTATGTGAGTGTCGCACGAGCAGTCGTGTGAATTTCTGCTCAGGTCTGTGTGATGTTCGTTGTGCACCGGGATGTGGTAAAAAAAAAAAAAGACTTGCAAGAAAAAATGCTACTGTCGACTTCTCCCTGGCTGTGTTGCAGGCAAGATGCTGCGCTGCGTGCGCTGCCCGGTGGCCTATCACGCGGGAGACCAGTGCATCGCGGCCGGCTGTGAGCTGCTCACCTCCAGCAGCATCATCTGCACGAACCACTTCACCGCCAAGAAGGGCTACAGCCACCACACCCACGTCAACGTCAGCTGGTGCTTCGTCTGCTCCAAAGGTCAGGGCGCCCTCTGGTGGGCCGTGGCTGCGACTGCGAGCTGCTTGGCGAATGGGGGAAGGGGTGCTGAAGAGCACTTCTCTCTTATTAGAGACCTCTGAAGAAAAATCTCTGAAACACGGGGGCGGACTGGAATAGTGTGGTAACATGCCGAGTCGTTTGTTAAGAGTGGCAGTTTGCAGGATGTGCCCATGATTGCTTACAATTGCAGTAGGTTTCTGCCTATGACTTGCCTGTGTTAGATAGCCATTGTCCCCTCATGAATCTTATGACTGGTTACAAACCAGAGGAGCCATTCAACTCCTCCAGTTCACTTCATTATAGATCAGGAGAAGCTATTGGTCCCACTGAGCTCCGATAGACTAATTGATCCAAGGATCTCACCCAGCTGTTTTTGATTGTTGCATTGATGGTCGATTTCACACGTACCCATTCCAACTTCTTGTCGGTTTCCAGTGTGTCAGCTTGGACGCTGATTGCTTGGCTTACTCTGGACTCTGCCTCCCTCTGACAGCAGCCCAGCACATCTCCCATCCCAGAGCGCTGTAGTCTGTGAATTGTTAAATTAAACCTATCCTCTGAATGAACAAATTAGGCTGATTACTAATTAGCTTGAGCAAATTAAGGCTTCTCAGCTGTTTGAGATCAGTGGCTCTCAGTCCAGGTGCTGGAATGCATTAGAATGGATTCCCTTTATCGGCTTGGCACTTAATCACCAGTGCTAATTAGTGTCGGAAATGGTTGCTTGTTTAGGCTTTTTCAGTACTCCATCTTGAGTTTCTCTAATACCACAGTACAGGGTTTCTCAGTCCTGGTCCTGAGTGACCCCTGTCTTTTCTGGTGTTTAGTCTGGATGAGTTTAATTGGGGTTAAATAGAAATTAACGCTTGTTTTGAAATATGCTTTCACCCTTAAAACGTCTGGACTAGAACCAAGCACCCGACATGGGCAAACAGGAGCACAGTGCGGGTTTGTCCTGACTGGGAAAGAATACTGTTGTCCTGTCTGCATCCAAGCACTATGTAGAAAATAAACCAAAGGAAAACCACCCAATTACCCAGCTGAAAAGATGACACTGATGTCCTACAGCACTCTGAAGATACAAATGCAAAGCCCTCTTGGAACACGGGACACATGCCTGTTTTTCAGTAATGTGCACCCTCTTTTTAATGTGATGTAATTAGTATCAAGGAAGACGTTGAATACATCTGTTTTTAGACATAGTTCAAGTGCAGCTCCCAGTAATCGAGTATTCTTGAGTAAGACTTAGTCCTAGAAGGGAGTAGGGTAAAGGCAGAAGAAATCGGTGGTTTGCATGGACATGAGCGTAATGAAACTGCTGTATCATTTCACAAAATCCCAAGGCAAGTCCCCTCTTAGTGTTCTAGGTAAGATAAAGTTGCATGTTTATTCATTGTGAAAATGTTCAACTTTTCATTGTGGAAGTTCAAGGCAAGAAGTGACTGATATGGCTTAGTTTTCTTGGTGCATCTTAAAAAGTTGTCCAACCCTTAAGATATCTCAACAAAATGCAATATTCTGCAATGATTAATGCATCTAAAGTTAATTAACTAAAGTTAATTAAGCTCTGAAAGTTTGACTACCCTTTTCTACAATCTGCTTGTTCATCATTTGACCTAATTTCCTAAGTGTTTGATATTTTTGTGACAATGATGTGCTTAATCTGCTGACAAAGGTAATGAAAAGGAAATTAATTAAAAACTGAATTAATTCACAGCTGACTCCCAGATTTAATCTGGTTCCCAGCTAGCAAAGGTTAAGGACCCCAGTTCGGAAATGCTGAAGAAAGCGCTTCATGAAATCATTGATGTTTAGCAGAGTGGTGTGTGGAGAAATTGCTGTCAAGTCTGTACCAAACAAATTTCCCTAACTGGAACGTTTAAACGGCGTTGGCGGAATGAAGGGGAATGATGAAAGAGCTGGCAGCGGTGTCTCCACGGCGAGCTGCCCGAGCTGTCTGCAACCCTGCTGTGCGCGCCTGCTCGCTCTTTCTCATGCCTGTCTCCCGCTGTTCCCATGTGTGTCCTGCAGGGGGCAGTCTGCTGTGCTGCGAGTCCTGCCCAGCAGCCTTCCACCCGGACTGCCTGAACATAGGGATGCCCGATGGCAGCTGGTACTGCAACGACTGCAAGGCTGGGAAGAAGCCCAAGTACAGAGACATCATCTGGGTCAAGCTGGGAAGTTACAGGTGGGGGAGCATTTCGCAAAAGCAGCTGAGCTGACAGGGACACCAGTATCTGGTGGCTAAGCATTGTGCCTTGTGGCTCGGAAGACTTCTGTCAAAGCCACACAAGTATTTATGGGTTGGGTAGATTGTGCTATTCTGTGAATCTGTGAGTATTTTAACACAGCAGGGTTGTGGATCTGACATGCGTAGCTAATTGCAGGTGGCCCATATGTAACCAGCAGGATAGGGATGCAGTTCTTTGGCATCAGATGTTGAATGTGGGATCACTGCCCAGCGCTGTCCTGGTTTCTCCTGCAGGGGTTGTGTTGTTTGTACTGACCATCCAACTATGATCTTACAATTCCTGTATTTGCTTTCATTTGTAAATAATTTGAAATGTTCTAAATCAGGTTTCGATCTCGATTGTAAAACAGTACATATCCGAAACATTATTTTACTTCTGAAATAATGGTAATACTGACAATTTCTCGATCCAGCCTACAATACGGAAAGCTAAAATGTTTTTGTCCCATCCTAGATTTTAATTACAAATTGGTTTTTGAGATTGCAGGTCTCCTTTGATAAAGCAGTCCAGTAGTTGTGTAGTAATGTGTAGGTCTACTTATATGATTACACTGCTAGCTTTTTAAAATGCTCAGTTGCACAATTTGTTTTGCCTTTTTTTAAGGACAAATATTGTTTTTAATTTCTTGTTGTTTAGGGGTCCGCTTCAGGACTTTAAGCATATGACTCGAATAATTACAGAGGGATGGTAGTTCTCATCCTTAGGTACTTTTCTGTGCTGTATGAGTTGTGGAGCCCCTTTGAGAGGATGACGCAGGAAATGAGGGGAATGAATTTCCACTCAACAAGCTTTCGCCTTCGAGCCGTTTTCGAGGAGCGCAGTAGCCACGAGCCTCCCTCCTGTCTCTTACCAGATGGTGGCCGGCAGAGATCCGACACCCGCGCGGCATCCCCACCAACATCCAGCACCTGCGGCACGAGCTCGGGGAGTTCCCCGTCTTCTTCTTCGGCTCCAAGGACTACTTCTGGACGCACCAGGCCCGCGTCTTCCCCTACATGGAGGGGGACCGGGGCAGCAAGTACCAGAGGAACGGCATCGGGAAAGTCTTCAAGAACGGTGAGCCGGCGAGAGGCCAGCCTGGCTGCTTGTGGGTCATTGATCCAAGGGAAGAGACCGAGTTGCAGGCTTAACAGCCACATGGCTGGGTAGCTCCTGCACTGCTCCCACAGCCATCGGTGGCTGCCTTCTGACCTTCTCTTTAGTTTCCCTTTGTATCCTTTTAGTTTGTGTTTCAGCATTGATCCTCAAGAGCTCCGTGGGTCTGCCCCACGGCTGTCCATGGCTCCGAGTGTTTTAAACCCAGTGCGCATAGTCGTCGGCCTTCCTGGCTCACAACTTCTTTCAGCCTGGTCAGAGTTGAGGTTTTTTTAAACCCCAGTTTGCTTTCAGATGCTCTTCACTGGGTTGGTTTCCAGAGTGCCAGCACGTCTTGCGCAGTGTTATGACCAATATTGTTTGCTGCCAGCTTAATTAGGTCTTAATGCGTTGTGCAATTTCAGTATGATACCTTTCTAATAGCTGTCAGTAGTAGTAAAGAGCTCCTAAGCTGATGAACGCCAGACACCAAATTGCATCTGGAAGGGTTTTGAACTGAAACCTTCCTTAAGGATTTCAGTTTTGCCTGCTTTGGCGATGAATCTGGTGCTGGTCTCCACAGAGGGGATAGGATCAACCCTGCAGCTCCGTGAATTGCCTCTGTTCCCGCCGAAGGTCCTGCCCTCAGGCTTACGGCCCTCTCCCTGTTTTCAGCTCTTCTGGAAGCGGAGATGCGCTTCAAGGAGATCAAGATGGAGCGGGAGGCAAAGGAAGCCCAGGAGAACGATCGGAAACCTCCGCCGTACAAGTACATCAAGGTGTGTCCTCTGCCACTGGAAGAGCAGGCTACTGATGCACAGTAGGACGTGGCTCTGTGGTTAAGGATCTGCGCCTGTGACCGGAAGGTTGCCGGTTCAAATCCCGCGGCCGGCAGAGGAATCCTACTCCGTTGGGCCCCTGAGCAAGGCCCTTAACCCTAACTGCTCCAGGGGCGCCGTACAATGGCAGACCCTGCGCTCTGACCCCCAGCTCCTCTCCCTGTCTGTGTGTCTGTGTCTCCATGGAGAAAAGCTGGGGTATTTGAAAAGACGAATTCCTAATGCAAGAAATTGTGTAGGGCTAATAAAGAAACATTATCACATTATTATTAACATTATTATCACATCTCCTGTCAGTGGGCTCGACTAAAAAAGCTCTTTCTGCACAGTCTGCCTGGGAGGCGAATGAATGTGAATTAATTTCACTGCACAACAGGCACCTTACTTGCTTACTCTGGGCTCCTCATAAATAGACTTTCACTAATCAGGATTTGGAACCTGAGCCTTAATCAGGTTCTGATTGGGTTCTGAGCCTGGCTCTTGGGGGGGTGAAGTTCTTATTTTTGTAGCTCATTGTTTTTAAAGCCGCTTTTTAAATTGTTACGATTTAATAGCCGACATCTTAAACTCAACAAAACCATTTT